CAGGAGTGATACGGATGTTCCCTAAGCCGTCAGGTGGCATTCGGTTGCCGTATTACTCCGAACATGTGGGCGCCTGGTTTAACTGATCAGAAAAGTTGGTGTTGAAGATCTCGGCCATCTCTAGGTTGGCGAGGTCTGCGCCGTTTGGTCCTTTGAGAGAACACAACCCTTGTTAAGTAGGTTTCATTTTCGACATGAACCTAAACAGATGTTTCGGGTTTGCCTCTATTTTGGCGGCTAGCTTGACCTGAAATTGTCTCCCGTCACTTCGAACTTTGGTATCGCATCTGTTTCTCAATGCCAAGTAAGAACTGCGATCGGAATCCTTCAAGGAGACCTCCAACTTGTGCCAGGCTCTCCTCTTCGCCTGTAGGAAGCGTTCAGTGTCACGTCTAACCCAGATTCTTCTAGTCCCGCGTTTTGGGTGTGACTGAGGTACATTGTCTACGACAGCGTTTTGGATGATATCTCTCACTGTTTGCCAGTGATCATCTACTGTTAGCCTTCACCACTCCCGTGGCCATAGAGCATGTAGTAGGACCTCTCCCATGAGTGTATAATTTGCCCTGTTGTAGCAAAGGTAGGGCTCGTTATCGTCCTGTGTGAGTGTTTCGTTTATGACCATGTTTAACAAGACTGTGCCATGGTTACTACTACCTATTGGTGAGCGGACGTGAACATCCTCAACCAAGAGCTGGTCGTTAGTTAACAGATAATCCAGGTTTGAAGACTTCCTCAGTCCACCTGGTGGCACTGCGTACGTGCTCAGTCAGCCCAGAGCTTCTAATGGATGTACCAAGTTGTCTTTGAAATCAACCAGTTGAAGTTATACTCTGATTGCTGAGATTTAAAGATGGGGTATTGAAATCTCCAGCTAAGAGTATTTAATAATATATTTATTCTCAATTAACTACGTTACAAGAGTCACGCCAGTTTACCGGCTAGATCAAATTGTCACAAATGCTTTCACAATTACTGTAAAGTTATAGCAGTTAAATTTAGTATAAGAGTCAGTTTCTGATTGCATATTTACACCATATCACTGACAGAAACAGTATTATACAGCCACATTTTCAATATTAGAGTACACATGAGGATGGTGCACAATAGGTTCTATTGGCGATTTGCCGAGATCAATAGTGAATTTGTTGGGAAAGGTCATCTGGAGCGCGCTTGATACGAGCTGTGATCCAGACAGTCATGTACCTAGGGTGCATGTTCCCTAGAGTCGCCAAGGATTTCCCACCGTGAATAGGGCTCTGAAAAGGAGAAGAGAGAGAGAAAAAGGCAGCAGTGTGGCAAGTGTATATATATATAACCAAAGCACTACTTAACCTGTCATGTTGAAGTAGTCAATACAGTAGTAAGTCAAGATAAAATTCATACTGACCACTTAAATTAAATTAACTTATGGGAATATAAGAATATAACACACAGATATAAGAGTACAGCAAAAAGAAGGAAGAGTTGTGCAGTGTCAGGTGGACAGAAGAGAAGTTGAAGTAAGAAGCTGGATTTATGTACGTTGAAATCGAAATTCTAGTTGAAAGAGTAGAGTTTGTAAAAATAAAAATTTGATGAATAAAATCTCGCACTGTCTAACTGTTTTTTTTATTATTATTGAATGCCAACCTCTAAGTCATACTGTAAGCGCCTGAGTAAGAATGTTGCGGGTGTCTCGACAGAATAGCGACCTCAGCATAGTTTTGGAAACATGAACCTCAGAAGTAACAGGCGTATAAGAGCAACCTCAGTAATACTGATTAGTCGTCTCATCAATCTAAAGAGCCGAAAACAAACAAAATGTTCTGCCCCACAAACATGAGTGGTTTGAAGTCATCGCCCACACCATCAATGTTTGCTGGTCAGTAACTCCACCCTCCCTCCTTTTGTGTTGTTAGGCTCATGTTAAATGTTTAAAAGAAACTATTGAGTTTTACTTGGTGCTCTATGTCTCACATCCTGTTGAGAAACACTGTTTCTACAAGTTCCTTTCACAAACTCGTCTGGCTGTTACAACTTATGAACTATTGGTTAGGCATTAATGCTATACAGTTAACAGTTATGGAGAAATAGTAAGGATTTTTAAACAATATATAAGCATTTAGAATGTAGTGGAGAAGATGTACTTAACTAGCTAAGCAGGAGATATAAAGAGTATCACGGTTAAAAGTTGAGCAATAGATAACATTAAGGGGTCAAGGTAAGTCAATAGCGTGTAAGTGAGAACAGTATAATTGATAATAGGCAATGTGAAACTCACACAGTTGTAAGTGTTGATAAGGTTGCGCCCAGGAAAGTAGAGTGCATCCTAATCAACCAGTTTACAGATGAACAGTGCCGATCGACCCAGTGAATAGAGTAACCTGTTTATTTCAAATAAAAACTAAAGAGATCAAACAACAGGAGTGGCAGTTGCAGTAGTACCTCAGTCAGTTTGATTTTCTGGGACTTAGTACGCGAGGGAGGTCGGTAAATCCCTCCAATCAAGTATTTCCTGCCATTTATGTGGAAACAACACCAACATGATTCTGTCACATCAGTTAGTTGGGTGTCGTATAGCCTCTCGGCTTTTAAGTGGCTGTTTATATATATAGCCACTCCACCTCCAGTTTGGTGTGCCCTATCACATCGGAAGAGTGTCACGCCTGGCAAGCTCACTTCTTTGTCTGCAATGTCAGAAGATAGCCATGTTTCAGTTATAATTATGATCTTCAGATCAATCTGAGAGCACATATTCCTGATTTCTAACAGCTTACTCCTCAGCCCTCTCACGTTGCTATAGAGGCACTTGGTGGTTTGTCTCAGCACCTGGTACAATTCTGCAGCAGTAGCTGTTGTCGGATTTTCAAACAAGTTATTCAAACCGAATTGGCCAGTTCTGTGGGAACCGGCCTCTGCAGGTCTTTTGCCTGTGCAGTGAGTTCAGTCGTGTACTGTGCCAGGGGTAGTTGACCGAGGTTAACTATCAGTATTGTGCGTTCATTTTAGCCTCCCTGCTGTTGTCTCACAGATCTAGGTCTTCTTTCGCAACACTTGATGTGGCTAGACAGATCGTTCCTCGAACTGTACCAAGCTTGTAATGTTTCAGTCAGGTCTTCCTGGTTCCTAAATGTCACAGCCATCAGGCATGGTGACTTGATGGACGTAAGGTGTGACGGGCGGGGTAACCTAGAACTGCAAACATCCATCGTGGTGTGGAGGGATAGGCTACGCGATAGCCATCACCACTGCTGCACATCGTGCTCTTGAGCTTCGTCCGCGTTTCCGTCGGTGATTTTGAGTATACCGTGAACTACCATGGTGGTCTGTTCTTGGGTGTCTCGCGCAGTTCTGGCTACTGCACGTACCGACCACGGCTTGTCATGCCTGACACGAATCAGCGAGGACAATTTGACCGATGGTCTTTGGGATGAAAGGATAATGTCTTCAGCAAGTCGTGCCGAGTCAAGAATTACCCTCATTTGAGGGGGTTTTCCTTTCAATGCATTTTGGCCTTTGAAAAGGCGGCATATTTTGCCTGGGACGTCGCACATTCCGAGGGTTGAGCAGAATTTATCCCACTGCTCTTGTTCGAAGGCAGCCCTACCTACTAGCAAGATTCCTTCCGATACTGGGACATTAAATAAAATAAGTGAGTTAGATCTGTCGTCCCTGTTCTTGGGTGGTAGCCGCTTGTGAGTTGGGGTGTTGCTCTTTCCCTTCTTCACGTTCACCCACTGTTTTGTATTGCTAGCAGATACTGGGGGGTTAACAACAACCGGCATTTTTGTCGGTGTGTTAGGCAGGGTTGTGGTAGCCTTGGTCACTTGTTTTACTGGTTTAGTGCCAGGCGATTTTGGTTTGGTCGTTTAGACTTTAGGGCTGATTTTGGGTGGGATCTGTCGCCTTGTCAGTGCCTCAGATACTCTACACCGAGGGCGAATGTACCAGAACCATGGGCAGGGGTGACTCAGCATGAATTCGTAGTACTCTTTAGGTACTGTTTTGTCGCAGTGATAATGTACCCATGTACTACAGAAGTTGCATTCAAAGCATGGTCGCTGGTTTTGACTGGTGATGAGCAGGCAAAACAGTCGTCCTTATGCTGTTTCTGGGCGTTGGACTGTGTCGACCGAGCCTTGGAGCGTCTTTTTCTCCTATTTTTAACCAGCTTACTGGTCCTTTTAGGAATAAGAGTGGTGTCCTGCTTCCTGTGTGGTGTCTGGGTTGAGTGGTCTAAAGTATGGACACTGAGGGGTGTACTATAGACTGACTTTTTGGGTTTCTTAGCAACCCGTTCACACGATATTGGGATTTTCGATGCACTATCGACCCCGGGGTTTATGCCTCTATAAGCTTTCCTAGTTGTTACAGTGTAAAGTGTACTAGCGACCTTATTACTTGACATGATGTCAGGGAGATTAGGAGGTGAATACCGAGATAATTAGAATACGAGATACACAAAAAAGGGGTTTAGGAAAGAAGAAATTTAGTAGTATATAATAAAACTACAAGGAATAGAGACTGAAAGTACTCCAGAATTGCAAATATACCTTTCACCGTATTAGTAGGTAACTTTGCGTGTATCCAGTAACTTGTCCACAAGTCCTGTGTTTGTGAGTGAGTGGATGTATGTATGCTGCCGAAGCAACTAGAAATGAGCAGTTGAATGAAGCAGCTAGACCTACCGCACGATGGTTCTGACTTGGAATGGTTACGTTTGCCCGAAAATGTTTTCAGGTTGTCAACCGATGAATGGAGACAACTTTTTATAGCTTTGGGGATGATAAAGTATCCCGAAAGTGGATTGTTTCCCGTAAATGGAAGAGAGACAGAGAGAACACGACAAATTCGAAGCGTGCGCACGGTTATGTTATATATAGTTTACCAATGATCCAATCACATGGTACAACTTTTCTATGATTCTGGTAATAAAAACTTAGTTTTCACATTTTTTCTGAAAATTCTTTTATGGTGTTGGGAATAGTCTGTGTAAAATATAAATAATGCGCTACTAACCGTTATGCACAAGGTCGTGCAGACCATAATTTTCACAATGTTGTTGTTATGAAGTATTCTTGGTTAATCAACCTTAATTTTGCATACAAAATATGAAGAGTCAATTTATTTGACTGCAGTTAAAGCAAGCTAAAATGGGGATGGCCTAATTTTATTATGTTGCCTTTCCATATTTGGGGAAATAAAGTCGACAATCTGATGCATTGTAGTCCCTATCATCACGGTGTTTACCGAAGTATTTTCCACGAATTTCCCTTGTATTTTCACGATTTCGTTTGCTTGAGAGTAACTGAATCGGAAAGGGAACGTTAATTGCTTCTGTAATTGTTACTGGAAATGTCTCTAAATCGATCAGAAAGATCATTTTCCACCAGTTGGGAACATCAAATGATTATAGCAAGCACTGTAGTAGGAGGTATAATTTACCAACTGTTCGGTCAGATTTAAAATAGCTACTAGGAATCAGTCTCATACTTTGCGGCATTAGACTGAGTAAACAAGAATAATTTAACGGGCACACACTCATCAGCCATGAGTAACTACAGTTTCCTAGTTGCTCCGGTTGTTTTCAAAAGGGAACCTAATTTTTAAATTTTGAACTTATTTCTATCGTAAAACACTTGTATTCTATTTTTCTGCAAAGCATTTCACGTGGATGTTTTCATCCAAATGTCTCCAATTCTCATAGTCTTATTTTCGTTGTTCTATTACCCATACTTTTAGATGCAATCCCTCTTCATCATTTTTCGGCTCAGAGATTACAAATATTTCGTATAGTTTCTTCCAAATGCTTGTATGCGGAAATCATGTATCGGTTAACAATTATCCTGTACATAGCTGTATAACATTCACCGAAATTCTCAATGTTCAATATATTCAATGCATATGACTTAATAAGAGTAAATTATCCACTGTTCCAGTTAAAGGGGAATATTGACCCTTATTGTAAGTGTCAATCAATTTTTGTTTCCGTTCACAATGATTATGAAAGTAATTGGAAAATGAATTGGACTTTATGCGAATCAATGTTTAAAATATTTGTCCCATTATCTATAGGATGTAATACTTTGCAGCTAAGGTGTGAGCACAATCTGGCTGAGTTTCGAATAATGTATGTGCGTGATCTTGATTCTTCATATATTGTCAAGCCTATTTATGTGATATGCTCTGATGATACTGGGGAATTCCAAGCTCCTGAAGGAGTAGTTTCCACGAAGGAAAGTGCTTGTAAACGTATTGGACTAGGAATTAGATTGTTACAAACTTTGACTGCAGAAGCTTTTCTGTCTGAACTTGGAAAAAGGTGCACCTTCTTAACTAAGGAAGAACTTTGTCTTAAATCGCTGGGGGACACTTCATACTTGTCTTCTGACACATGTTGTGTTTGTCATTACTCAAGTCTCAGCAAATATTTCGTCAGTAGTAATACTCCTGAAGAAGTATGGCGGGAGTTAGCTTACGAACTCTATAAAACATATCCTTATAATTTCAAGAATACGAAATGGGTCGCTTTTATGGCTTGTACACGCTATAATCCCTCCAGCAAAATCAATTCCGAATTCCTCAGTTACAATGAAATACTTCTACGAACAAGTGCTCATTTCGCTCTTGGTAAGCATCCTTTCACGATTATTTATTTGACAGTATCATTCAAAAAGTTATCTTTTTTAAAAATCTTATTGACTAAAGCAATTGCTGTTTTTTTTAAAATCAAACGCATTATTCAGTGGTTTTCTTATAATACGCTACCGGGTTGTTTTAATTCTTGGCAGTATAAAACCAACATCCAGCTTACTTGTTGTGAAACTTTACCCTTTGTCGGTACTGGTAGTTAAAATTATCAATCTGCCGGATGACGTACCATCGATTCTAAAAGGTGCATATTCATGTGATTGAAACACCTCCAAATCAGTGATATGGGCGTCCGACAATAGTTGTCTTCCCGGACCTTAAGGCGGCATTCGACTGTGGATCGTGAGATTATGTGGCAGTGCCTGTCATTAAAAGGTGTACCAAAGAAGGACATTAACCTTATACAAGCCCTCTACTCGAACACTACAGGTTGAGTTAGAGCTTATGGCGAACTGTCATCGTAATTCTTCACTTCAAGTGGTGTCCGTCAGGGATGTTCACTTTCTCCATTCTTGTTCAATTTTATCATAGACACTCCTAGGTATAACATTATCTTCGTCTGAATTTTCAGGAGTAGACCTTCTACCAGGTGGCTCGCTTACCAACTTAGAATATGCCTATGACATAGTCCTAATTGGTAAAGACGCAGACAAAATGCAGTCTTCTGACTACCCTAAGCAACAATGCAAGCATGTTTGGGATGCGGTTCTCACCCTCGAAATGCAAAATGTTGTTTCAAGATTGGCTTGCATCGGTACCTGAACTAGTGATAGGGAGTGAAGTAGTTGAGCGTGTAGACCGCATCACTTATCTCGGGGGTTTCATCAGCGCTGATGGCCTGGTGATTGACTAAATCTCAGCTCGGATACAGAAAGCTCGGCTGGCTTTAGCCAATTTACGTCATTTATGGCGTAGGCGAGATATCCGTCTGCTAACCAAAGGTTCGGTGTCATGCGCAGCAGTTCGCTCCGTTCTCCTATATGGACGCGAAACATGGCCGGTAAGAGTATAAGATATTCGTATGTTACTAGTATTCGATCATAGACGTCCTAGAAGCATTGCTCATGTATCATGGAACCGAGTAAGCAATGCTGCCATTAGGAAACGAGTACTAGGTAAGGATGGCAGATCAATAGATGAAGTATTGAAACTTCACCAGCTGAGGTGATTGGGACATGTGTTAGGAATGCCTAACCACCGACTGCCTCAAGGAGCTATGTTTTGTAGTGTAGGAATAGGTTGGAAGAAATTTAGGGGCGGCCAGACCAAAATATGGCGAAAATCCATCAAGTCACTGACAAATGGACTGAGTCATGTTGGCAGATGTAGACTACCTGGTTGGGGTCCGCCAGACGAAAGTCACCGATGGTCAGAGACCTTGAATGAAAAGGCTCAAAATCGTTTGGATTGGCGCAGGTGCATCCACTCTGTGTTCTCTCAAATTCTAATCTTCTGGATTCTTCAACACCTCTACCTTCGTCTTTCCAAACTTATCTCACTGAATTATACTTCTTGAATAATATCTTCAAATTCTAATCTTCTCCATTACCAGTAATACTTCTACTATCTCTACTACTATGGGATTTGAATTGACAGTTGCATCTCTGTGCTGTGGTATGGCAACATGAACGGATGTACTTACGTACGAAGTTCTTCGTTGTAACCGACCGACCAGTGATATGGGTGATAAAGTCTGGATAGTGCATCAGTGGAAGCCTTAAGGTCTCAATAGGTTGATATACCGATCTTCAGTATTTTCAAAGCAGGAAATATTAATTTATGAGAGTAGACATCGGATTCTATAAGTTGTCTGTAGTCTCAGCAATAGTTTCCATATATTAACTTCTTAACAGCTGATTACCATTTATAATAATTGCTTACAAGTGAAAGTTAAAAATGAGCTGACTGGGGAAATGAATTCTCATTTTATTGAAACTGCAATTATTGACAGCCATCATCCTTATGACAATGGCAAAATTACTGATATTCATTTAGATCAAAGTCGTTGGTTGGTAATCGCTGTTGAATGTGTATGCCAGTCCAGTGATTACAAGCATTTTCAAGACCTTATTATATTTAGAACTGCTTAAAACGTATAAAGTAATTAGTTGGTGAAAGTAAAATAAACCACTAGAACGTTGACAAATGTTTAAGTGATTTTTATGGTTTTTAATATTAAAGAACAACAATCTTCTGGACGAACACCTAATTGCCAGAGCAGAGTTAAAATGGCTTGAAATGATTTTTCTAGTTAGCGATTTTTAGCGAGTTAGTTTTCTACGGGATGAGGTTGCCAACTCCTTGACTATCCCTACTTTTTTATTCGGGCTTGAGACTGGCAGTAGCACAGAACAGGCCCCATGCGCAGTTACGTTTTTATCTGCAGTACTTTATTTTGAGTAATTTTGAATTTATTTGAATAATTTTTTCTAATGAACTTACAAACTAATGCCCATAAGTTTTGATAGTTCAGCAAATTATAATCTTTGATTGTAGAAGTAGCTGCTACCTTGACGTAGTGGACGGGCTTGCCTATCATGATGACCAACCGAGCTATTTTGGATGGTACATATGTTATTGTAGGTTCTACCGTGCTAGGCAGATCGATTGGGGAACGATGAGACTAAAAACAGCTACTTAAGGTCTGAGGGCGGAGTCGTCCTGGTGACTGTAGAGGCGTGTGGCAGCAGTAGGCTGTTTCCCTCGGACAACCAGCATCTGCAGCGATACTGCCTCACAAGGAAGGAAAGGTTAGAAAAGGTCGACCCTAAAAATGTCACTCCTCACCTAACCTCACGGATTTTACTCTCCGGCGGTAAAGGCTGCCCAATAAGCGCTTTTAAAAATAGCGGAGCCAATACCCTAAAATCTCATAAAAATGCTGTGCGTGGCCGGCCTCAAACAGTTGTCTCTTGGGCTCTGCAGTCACGCTCCCAGGTCTCCAAGACCAACAATAATCTACCTTTCTTTTCAGGCTCCTCAAGAAACACCATTCCACGATGTGGGCACCTGGAAAGTGACATCCGCCCTCATACCCGCAACAGCACGCGAGACCAAATCGGTCACAAATAAATCCATCCTACTCCTAACATCGTTCTTATCTCCGTCGCTTGCACTATTGCATTTGAACTGACAGTTGCATCTCTGTGCTAATGAGGTATGGAAACCTGAACTGATGTACGTGCGTACGAAGTTCTACGTTGTAACTGGCGGACTGACTGAAGCAACCATAAGTTTCTTAAAATTCATTAGTTTATAATCTAAGTCCCTTTATTCCTGAACTTCCGAAATATACATTTCAAAATATTCACACTTGCAAATCCAGCAACTTACACGATAAATAATCTACTCTATAGTTCGAGAAAAAACGAACATACATTAAAAGTGCTGTAAATACTCATAAATGTAAATGTCAGTGACAAAGGACTAATAATTGTTTTTATTTTTAGCTACTTCATCAGGTTTGATAAATACTACGGTACTTAGCTCAATGTGTCCTTTTTTCTATATGAGACGCCTGAAAGTTACTCCTAGTGATTATTATTCAAAGAAATCGTCACTCAACTTATGTCCCCAGAATTAATTGAAGTTAATATTATGCCGAACAAATTTCACATCAAGTTAACATGAAATTCAAATGAACAAATTTCATACTAAATTAGTCTAGTATTTTACATCTACTCTCTTCGTAATAAATTATATTTAAGGATTTAATATCATCAACAATATGACAGTTTAAATTGTAACAGATAATCAACTTATCTTAATCCACTCCATTAACTCATCTAGTAATCCTGATTCAATCAGTATTCATTGCTCGCGAATATAAGTCTTGTTAAACAGTTGGTTTGATTAGATTACGTTAAACGGACATAACCACCGAGATAATGCATACGTTATATTTTGGTAAGTTTTTTTTTATTGATTTCCGGTTGACCTTAATATTCCGTATGCGATTAATTTTGTTTAGATTTCTATCAGATAGCATCAGGCTTGTTTTAATTTGTAAACTATTTGACTTTTCTAATTAATAGGAACAGGGGGTTTAGCATTACTTGGAACGGGGACTTTACATGCTTGGCCAGAAAATCTTGAAGATTTGCAGATAGTTTTAGGTGATACAAGATTTATTGATCCGATGTTGATGGATGATACTGCCTATCGGTGAGTTGTAACTGCAAGATGTGTATATAAATAATTCACCTCTTGAATGATTATCTGTAGCTAGATCACTGTACTGTACTGTGTTGTCTGACTCCAATATAATCCCGTAGATAATAATTTTAGTGGAGTGGGGATCCTATTCACTTCGTCCAAAATCTGTTGACGAATCCCGCTGATAACAACTTAGTTATGCAGTGTTTAAGGAACACATCCAGGCATTCAGTAATGTGGACAAACGATTAGAGGAGTGGGTGTGGATTGAACTAGCAGGAATAGGTAACTCAGTAAATAATGAGTGACTCAGAATTTATATTAAATAAGTAGCATATAAATTACAGGGAACTGGAGTATATATTATCAATACATAAGGCAAGTACACGTAGTATAGTAAACAAGGTCACAGATGAGGACGGATATAAGGTTATAAAATACCTGGCAAAGTTAGAACGACACATTCAATGGCCAGGTAAAATAACACTAGTTTGGGGTATGATAAGAGCTGTTGTAGTAGATGTTACAGTTTTGCGGAACCAAGTCTAAATGGTTTGTTCAAAGCCACCGCATTCTAAAGCATTCATTTGGATGGCTGCACAAAGAATAGGACAAATTAATTAAATCGTTTGCTCTATTATATTATCGAATCCACATCATATGCTTCTTGTTTTTGTCTTCCCAGATCCATGTTACTACAGTTTAGTTAAGCTACTGTATTTACTGCCTTCCAAAAACACTATTCTTAATTATTTATTTGACACACTAAAGATGTAGTCGGCTTTCCTATCCTAATGCATTTAATGAATACTCCAAACAAAATTATAATCCGTGTAAACGGAATTCTTTTGCTGAACTCTCTTTACTGTAGAAACATTATTTTTAAAAAAGCTTGATCTCAACCATAACTAAACAGTGATTCTTTCTGGTCATTTCTGAACCCAATTTAAATGAATTTCGTAGTAGTTCCGGTTTTGTGTGTGTTCATTTTCGTAAATATAACCGAACATATTTTTTCCTAAGATTCCCAATCTATACTGATTATGATGTCTCATTGATTCCTTTGTTAGGCACACATATTGGGCGGCTTTTGCAACAGGATTGGGTGCAGTTTGGCATGAATTAGGTCATTGTTTTGGACTGGAACACTATCCTCAGGGTATAATGTTTCGTGGTGATGATATTAATTTATGCCTTGGATTTCCAGCTCCTGATTCTCTTTGTCCACATGAATCCAATCTGATTGGTAAATCTACCCAAGCTACATATCGATCTGATAGTTCAAATCTTGATAATAAACATAGAAGAGTCCTTTGTCAAGTATGCTACTCCTGGTAATATTAGGTGACCTTTTCAGTATCAACTATGCATTAAAAATAATGATTATATCAAGAATCTGGTAAAAAAAACAGACCCAAATTAACTGCGTTAATCAATAACAAACGGTTTTTATCAAATATTTCTTCAGTTTATATAAGATTTAAAAGTTGCTAATGTCGTGAGAAATAATATAAAACTTCAGTTATGTTAAGCTGCTAAAGAAATTATTCTATATCATTATCTGCAAATCACTATGAAGAGCTCACCTATCTTAGATGATTGGTACTGGGCTCCACAAAGTATATTGCAATGAACGTTGTTTCTGTAAGTCTCATGTTGTCGTGATAACCAAGTAGTCAAGCTCTTTGTGTTTATCTTCGGCTAATAATCACAGCTTAATTAGCTATGTCTGGTTATATCTGCCAGCACTGTTTACTTTTTTCACTTTTGTTGAAATATCGTTGAGATAACATCCTACTATATCCAGTGTCTTGCTGATTTATCTCTTGTCTAAATACTTTTGTATAGATTACAGAAACAGCAAATTCATGTTAGTTAATAAAATGAAACCTGCTTAACATAATCTGGCATATTGTTAGTAAAATTATGAACTAACCCTTGTTGACTGCACTGGCTGGAGCATGTGCTTATCACATTCTTCTACTTCTATTTGTAACCCTAATTTAGACAACTTCAAATGATAGATTCTTGTGCCAGGTCCTACGCTTATGTCAGTCTAATTTTTTTAAACCGTCTCAAACTACGTATTGTTTTATAATAAACATCAACCCGAAAAACTTTTAAAACCCAGTAGTAACTATTATGTAAATTAAGTACATTACACTTGATATAATAGGCAGTAATAAAGGATTATTGACTACGTTCTGACCTTAGTTTCCATCTTATATTATTTGATAAGTCATGATATCTTGGTTTAACTTTCTTTTTCATTTAAATAATAGCTCAAGTTCTAAATTAATATGCTTAGCTAACTAGCGCCTTTAAAATCTGTTCGATTAAGATTCAGGCATCAAATCCATGAGCAAATCATCAATGTAACTATGAGTCATTTTTTCAGTATCAATAATGTTTTGTATGTCACTTCCCATATTTCGGGACATCATAAGCCTCGTTTACATGCATAAGTAAGTAGTAGGAAGGTAGAGAGGGTGAATCCTAATATGGTATCTGATTATTCAAAGTTTAAACCAATAAACTACCTATATATGTCATTAATGTGATAAATTTGTATTGGCTGTTTGAATCTTCTCATTGATGTTCAAGACCTTAAGTGATCTGCCTCTTTTTGGCATATGTGCGTCCTATGCGGATTGTCTTGATATTGCTATTAAGTGACGAGCATTATAAAGAGAGATGGATGGTGGCTAGCAGTAAAATCCAGGACGCGCATTTCTTCCTGTTCGGGACTCGCCAGCTGGATATATCTGCACTCCAGCGTTTATGTTTACTCCGGGACTTGAACCCAACACCGTTCGCTTCAAACGCCATTGTGTTATCTACTTAGTTGTCAAGCCTAGATAGCGATGAGTTGGTAAGATGGGATGAAGTCCAAGTTGTTTTTATTGACTGTTTAGAGAGAACGACACTAGGTTCGGCTCCCGGAGTAGCTAACGAGCCCCAGATAGGAAGAAACACGTGTCCTGGATTCTACTGCTAGTCACCATCTGTCTCTGTTTATGAAGTCATTAATATGGTTCGGCAATCAAAGATGGAGTTTATTTTTTCATAGTAAAATATTCGTTCAAATTTCTTACATGGACCGGTTAGAAACATCGGAATATTGCATATTTATGCTTCTTAAATATTGGGGTTTATTAAATCATCGGACTAAAAATTATATGGTATACATTTTTACTAGATCCAACCGCCCAATCCAGTGTCCCGTGCTATACAATTTCATCGCATAGTTCAATTCCTCCCAATGACGTCCAGTTTACATTCCTCAGATCAATTCACAAGCGAGGGAAAGGAATTTAAACAATGGGGTTTTTGTAAGTCTTTATGGCATCAAGGTTCTGCTTTTTGGGGAACAAAGGCCCTTTCAAAGCTACTTTCATGCCCGTAAGTTATCATATGAAGACTTATCTTTGATAAATGTTATAGACTAAACCATACATTCTACTTCAATGCGTTGAATATTTTGATTCGTCATTATAAAACTTTTGTATTTCATCAGAAACTTTATATAGGATTATTTTCATCCATTCTACAGCTCTTATTTGGAGCGTCTTATAAAGGTATATATTTCTTTAAAAAGAAGAAATATTTTTTTCTTTATCCTGATTTTTTAAATCCTTTTCCAGATGGATTATCGAAACACCGGCTTTGGGTAAAGAAGACAAATTCCTGGCTCAGAAATAACTTTAGTTTTACAGACGATTTCTTTCATTTTCTAAATCCCCTTTGTCGAACCATGCAAATCATAAGCGTGTGCAATTTAATGTAAATTATATTGATTTATGCATAATTAGAAACTATAGATTGATATACCTCGTCTTTTTTACTTATTCACCGTACTTGTAAAAAATTTTGACGTTTAATTCATACAGTGAAGTTCTAATTTTGTGGCTAATTTAATAAGTAATTTTGAAGTACATGGGCTAAAAAATGTACAATTACATTGTGTTTTTATTGCCACTGTTGATTGGAATGCATCAAGGTATAAAAAAGTCTACATAACTTGAGATGCAGTATTTTTGTAGCGAATATCACTAAAAGAATCTACTTAAGCCGTTCATTATTCAAACTGTTGAATTGTTGAAAGAAATATTTTGTGAATACCAATGCTTATCATCGAGATATCTATGTTATAATTTCGAGGACTCCTTTCTAGAAACTTCAAACCAAATTGTCCAACAACGCAACTATAAATGTCACTGATTTACTGTTTGGTATACATCACCTGCTAATTTTTATTTCTTGCAGTCATACTGTTTCAGTCGATATTGTGAACGGCCCAGAATGAACTGAGTTTCATGATTGGATCTACTAGTTTACTTATCATGCTCACATTCTTACACTTCGGGGCCACTGCCGGTCCCAAGCCCGGGTAAAGGAGTAGGGTTGAAATGTGGGTTGGCTACCCCAGCCCGGTAAAAACTTACTTGCCAAAAAATGTTAACAAGAAAAAATTATTCAAACCATATCAACTCTGGTAGTTAGAAGGTATTCACTTGGGAGAGTTACGACGTCTTATGATGAAAGCCGAGTTCCTTTGGAAGTCATGAGGCCGTTGTCCCTTCTGACAACCAGAACCCTTCCACAATGTGGGCAACCGGGAAGTTACATCCGCCCTCATACCCATAAAAGCACACGAGACTAAATTGGTCGCAATCAAATCCTTTCCGCACCTTCTAATAACTCTCTTATCTCCTCGATCAACTCTTCCTTCGATCGTTTTTCACGTCGCGCCAATGAAGCAAACGGTTTGGACTCACGAAACGTTATTCCTGGTCTCTTGAAACCCCGTATTAGATTACATATTGGAGCTTTTAATGTTCGGAGCCTATGCCGAATAGAGCAATAGGCTTCATTTGCTAGAACTCTGGAATTCTGAGCAATCGATGTATGTTGTGTCTCAGAAAAGGATGGTCTTATTATCCATTCTCAATCCAGGATATTGGATCGATGGGCAGGACACTTTAGGGATCAGTTCAATTGGCCTTCAGCCACACTTCGGTTACCCACGATCTCCAGTCATCCTGAATGGGAAACCGACGAAAGTCCCTCGAATCTTAATGAAGTTGAGAAAGCTATCGGAAATCTGAAGCGAGGGCGACTAGCGGAACCTGATAAATGGATCCCTGAGATTTTTAATGATGGTGGTCCAGCTTTAGCAGCTAGGTTGACTGAGATCTGGGAACTGGATGTCCCAATTTATAAGAAAGGACAAAAGTCTTCTTGTGACATTCACACGGGAATCAGTCTAACTAATATAGTTTCTAAATTGTTAGCCTTGGTTATACTTAGACGCCTAAGTAGGTCTCGTGAAGAGCAGATTAGAGAAAACCAGGCTGGTTTCAGACCTGGACGTGGTTGTACAGGCCACATCTTCACACTACGACAGGTCCTGGAACACAGACACACTTGAGCGTCCGACAATAATTATGTTCCTGGACCTTAGGGCAGCATTTAACTCTGCAGGTCGTGAGGTTCTGTGGCAGTGTCTGTCATTGGAAGGTGTACCAAAGAAGGACATTAACCTTATACAAGCCCTCTACTCGAACACTACAGGTTGAGTTAGAGCTTATGGCGAACAGTCATCGTAATTCTTCACTTCAAGTGGTGTCCGTTAGGGATGTCCACGTCCCCCATTCTTGTTTAATTTGTCATGGACATGCTCCTATATATAACCTTCGTCTGAATTTTCAGGAGTAGACCTTCTACCAGGAGGCTCGCTTATTGACCTAGAATATGCAGGATTCTGACCACCTTGAGCAACAATGCAAGCATGTTCGGGATGCGGTTCTCACCCTCGAAATGCAAAATGTTACTTCAAGATTTGGTTGCCTCGGCACCTAAACTAGTCGTGGGGAATGTAGTAGTCGAGCGTGTAGACCGCTTCACTTATCTGGTGAGTGTCATCAGTGCTTATGGCCTGGTGACTGACGAAATCTCAGCGCGGATAAAGAAAGCTCGATTTGCTCTTGCCAACCTGCGTCACTGATGTCGTAGGCGAGATATCCGTTTGCTGACTAAAGGACGAGTCTACTGCACCGTTATACCTCTCCGTCCTAATTTAGGGCTGTGAAATATGGCCAGTCAGTTTAGATATTCGTAGGTTGCTTGTTTTTGACTATAGGTGTCTCTGAAGGATTGCTCGTATATCCTGGGACAACCGAGTAAGCAATGCTGTTATTAGGAAACGGGTGCTAGGTAAGGATGGCAAGTCAATAGATGAAGTATTGAAACCTCATCAGTTGAGGTGGTTGGGACATGTGTTGCGTATGCCTACCCACTGACTGCCTCGTCGAGCTATATTTTGCAGCGTAGGAATAGGTTGGAAGAAAGCTAGGGGCGGCAAAACCAAAAGATGGCAGAAATCCATGAAATCACTGACAAGTGGACTAAGTCATGTCGGTTAGTTGGGGTCCGCGATAAGATGATAATCGATGGTTAGAGACCCTAAATGACATAGCTCAAGACCGTATGCAATGGCGCAGGTGCATTCATTCTTTGTGTTCTCCCAAACCATAAACTTTTAACTCCTCATCATTTTATCTTTTCAAGTTTATCTCACTAGATTCTACTTGTTGAATAATATCTAATCCTAATCTCTCCGATTGCTGCTAATACCTTTACTACCTCTACTACTATTGGATATGAATTGACAATTATATCTCTGTGCTAATGTGGTCTGGCAACATGAACTGATATACGTACATACATTTGTAGTTTTATGTTGCTATTGATTGATTGATGTTTCCTAGAAGTTTTTCCAAGTGACCACTGGATTTATACCATGCTTAGTTAAAAGTCTCCTGCTGTACATTTACATTACTATCTTTGAAATTTGCATTCTATGTATATTTTACAAGTTGAAGCTATAAAGTTAAGAAATATTCGGGTCAATCATCCATTTCTTAGTAAGCTTTAATATGCAAACCAATAACATTAGCTGTACACTAGTGTTATATTTCTGTCTATTTTACAAACTTACAACAGTCTATTTGTAGACATTATTCGTTTTGCATATTATTGAATCTTTTTGTCGAAATGTGGTCTAATCGATGGGAACAGACTTCTCAAATCTGTGACGAAATTCAACTGACAATAGAGATATACAAATACTGTGACACGTAGGGCTAAAATAGAGTAATAAATAAATATTTCTAAGCACAAATCAAGTCATTGACTATTGTAATAAAAATATATCATATTAAATGTCAAGAAAGTTTAAGCATTGTTGAATGAAGTTGTACAAACTTAATGGATTTCCGAATATTTCATATAGACTATCGAATGCAGGAGCAACTAGAAAAAATGTTAGGCGGCCATGTAAGCCATGCCCACACTGAGTTGGCTTGAAACGATATCCAAAAAGGTGTGTAAACAGCTGTGATATCTGCTAGTAAGGTTAACCATAAGGTTAGGGAGAAGCAGTGCATCTCAGTCAGTTACAACGTAGAACTTCGTACGTGCGTACACCAGTTCAGGTTGCCATACCGCATTAGCACGACTGCCAGTTCAAATCCCATAGTGGTGGAGATAGTAGAAGTATTAGCGATAATGGAGAAGATTAGGGATGCATCTCAGTAGCGTCCACTGAACTGACCGATGCTTGGAAACTCAACCGGTCTGGCTCCAAACACGATCAGGACCGTAGTTACCTTAAGCTCAGGCTGATAAGAAGCCTACCCAATGATCGCGAACAGCAGGAGGTAGCGAAAGCAACGAAGATGTAAAACCCAGAGGCGATAGACAACTGTTCAGACATTATCAACGAAACCGGTATTAGGAACGCAACTATTAGCAAGACGATCCTGGAAAAAGATGGGTTACCAGGAGATTGGATCGATGGGCAGAACACTTTAGGGATCAGTTCAACCGGCCTTCAGCCACACTTCGGTTACATACGATCTCCAGTCAACCTGAATGGCAAATTAATTTAAGTCCTCCGAATCTTAATGAAATTTAAAAAGTAATAGAAATCTGAAGCGCGGCACAGCAGCAGTCCCGAAATGCATAACCCTGAGATTTTTGAGGATCGTGATCTAGTTTCGGCAAATAGATTGACTGAGATCTTAAGAAAAATCTGAGAACTAAACGTAATCCCATCTGACTAGTCTTAATCAATATATAAGAAAGGACAAGTCCTCTCGTGGCAATCACAGAGGAATCAGTCTAACTAGTACTGTATCTAAATTATTTGCCTCAATAGTTCTCTGACACCTAACTAGAGCTCGTGAAGAGCAGGCTGGTTTTCTACCTGGACGTAGATGTATCGGCCACATATTCACTCTTTGTCAGGTCCTAGAACACACACGTTTACATGGCGCACAATAGTTGCATTTCACGACCTTAATGCGGCATTTGACTCTCTAGATCGTGAGGTCCTATGGCAGTGTCTGTAGCTGAAAGGAGTACCAGAGAAGTGCATTAACCTTATTCAAGCTCTCTACTCGAACACTACTGCCCGAGTCAGAGCTTATGGCGGACTGTCATCAGGACTGATTACTTCAAGTGGTGTCCGTCAGGTTTGTCTAATTTCTCCATTCTTGTTTAACATTGTCATAGACATGCTTCTGGAGATAACATTATCTTCGTCTTCCTTTTTCCTCTCCCTTCCACCATGAGACTCTTGTTGACATTAAATGTGCGAATGACATAGTTTTATTTGGTGAAGACGCTGTCAAAATGCAGTCTTCTGACCACCTGAACCAATAATACATGCATGTTCGGGATGCGGTTTTCCCCCTCGAAATGCAAAGTATTGCTTCAGGATTGGCTTGCATCAGCATTTGAACTAGTGATGAGTGAAGCGGTTGAGCGGTTCACAAATCCGGGGAGTCTTGTAGTGCTGGCGTGTGGTGAAATCTCAGCACGGATACAGAAGGCTCGACTGGCTTTTGCCAACTCGCGTCACTTTCGGCGTAGGGGAAATACCTATCCACTAACCAAAGGACAAGTTTACTGTGCAGCAGTTCGCTCCGTCCTACTATAGGGGTGAGAAACATGGCCGGTAAGAGTAGAAGATATTCGTAGGTTACTGGTTTTCGACCATAGATATCTTCAAAGTATTGCTCGTATATCCTGGCACAAACAAGTAAGCAATATCTGTTCTCAAGAAAAAAGTACTAGGTAAGGATGGCGAATCAACAGATGAAGTATTAAATGTTCATCAGTTGAGATGGTTGGGACATGTGTTACCCATGACCAGCCACCGACTACCCGGAGGGTAGTGCTTTGTGGTGTTGAAGTAGGTTAGTAGAAAGCCAGGTTCGGCCAAACTAAAGCGTGGCACAAATCCATGAGGTTACCAACAAGTGGACTGAGTCATGTTGGTAAGTGTAGACTACCTGGTTGGGGTCCACGAGACAATGGTAACCGATAGTTAGAGACTATGAATGACGTAGCACAAAATCGTTTGCAATGGCTCAAATGCATCCATTCATTGCGTTCTCTCAAATCCTAATCTTCTGAATTTCTCACCACCTATATCTTTCTCTTCTCAAAATTATTTCACAGGATTATACTTCTTGAACAATATCTTCGGACCAGGATCTTTCCGATTACTGCTCATACTCCTACTTCCTCTGCAACTATGGTATTCAAATCGACAATTGCATCTGTGTGCTCATGTGGTGTGGCGATTTGAACTGATTTACCTATGTACGAAGTTCTACCTTGTCGCTGATTCATTGATCTACTGAATTTACTGTGGTTTTTTAAATTTCTCTTTTTCTGACACCTATGCGACTAGGATCTTAGATCATAAAACTAGTTACTTTATGAAGGCACAAGTGGCATCGCAAGTTTATTTTGGAGCAAAAATCTTATATTTGACTTGAATAGAACACAAATTAAGTTATGCCTTCCTTTTTTGTGTTTAGTTTTTTTTATCAAGACTTGTTTTCAGAAATCTTTCATTAATTTGGAACAAGGTGTACGCTGCAATTTAAAGTATACTAATGACGACCTATAAGACAGGTAGTGATCGCAACCTTGTTACACATTATGTAACAAGAACATAGTGTAATTTACTAAGTATTCATTCTTTAAATATATCACTGAAAGTAAATGTGAACAACCATAAACAAAATAAACTTTTATTTAGCTTACTTATACGAGACTTTGCCATTAAACGTGTTTTACGCTTAATAAAGATATCTTAATTTGTCACCGCAACTAGTTTAAAGAATATCAATGCACTGAGCACTTTCACAATGTAATCAAAAAATTTTTAAACTAACTTGGATCATTTATTAACCACATAGATAACCGATTTACAACTTTCGAACCGAATAGAAAGTATAAATTTCCCAAAACTGAAAAGATTCCACTAATTGTACAAAGTAACAATGAAATACGTCGAATCCATCGATCAGACAGTTGACGATGCTGAATAGTTATTAATAAAAGGATTTTTACAATAAAATTCAGTTAATTCTTAAGTGTTTTGGATAAAATATCTAGCACTAAAGCTTTTACTATCAAAGCTTAGTTTTCGACAAAACTCAAACTGAAAACTCTTAATATCTCGCTAATAATAATACGTTGAACTGGTGGTGGTCATAGGCAATAGTTCTTGAAACCAAGTTAAACTATAGATGACACTTATTAACAAAGCCTACAGTAAATCTTGGGTAAACTGGCTCTCCTCGTGAGATTTAGATCCTTGTTATCTAGTGTTTAGGGTTAGAGAAGTTGTTATTTAAATATTCGGAGCGCGAATGGCCCTCTGTAGGACTGAGATGGTTAAACAATACTTGGTCACTAACCGGCAGTCATATTTGGTAATCAATGACCTTAGTTTCACAATCCTAGAAACCTTCGTCTTATATTTTTGAGCAAGTTTATTTTTTTGGAGTGTGAGAATATTCGAACTCTAATCCAGTTAGTAAGTTCCACTATATATACTACGAATATAGACTAGAATCAGCTTAATCGGAAATATTATCGTTTATTTGGATTGCTAAAGGATTTTCAAATCACAGAGGAGGATGAAATTTGTGAGTTTTCAAGCGACATTTTAGAAACGGATTACCACGATGTGAATCCGTCTACCTTCTATTTTTATCTACATATATTTGTTTTACGTCAAATAATTTTAATTTAGATACTTCCCTACTTTTGTTGATTCCCAGTTGACTTTTATTGTGAATCATTGTTATTTGAAAGAAATTATGTTAGTTGCTAGATCCTGGTTAGCATCGTCTGTGGTAGACGTTTAAGTAGTATATACTATGTAGGACTACTGCATGATCTTTTTTAGTCAGAGATATTGTAAGTTAGAGAACCATTAGAAACTAAAAAGTAGCAGCCAGTTTTAGTGTGGAACCCCCTCAGTAGTGAGCATCGATGACCTAACCATGTCAGGTGTCTGATAAATAGTGATTGCTCAATATCTCAAACTGTTTGAAGTAGGGAAAAAACCATTGGGCCCCGAGTCTATTATCTGAAAGTCAAGCACTAACCACGAGGCTGAGTCCAATCCTTATTAGGCTTGTCGATGTTCCCTGCTAAGGAGTCACACACTCAAAATAAACAGTGAGTACTTCCTTATGTCTGATGGTTGTCCAACTAAAGTCAGTTCATGTTGTAAAACTTCAAATTCAACAGCCTCTTAAAACTGATACCAACTTAGTACAATGATTTAACACTTACAATACTGATAAATCTTACATTTCTCATTTTGCGCTTAATAAGATTCGCTGTCATAAAACTCAAAATGAAAATAGTTAAAAACAGTGCAAATCTTTCAGATGAAAGGGTTTAGGATCAATTAAAAATACAAAAGACATACAATTTCTGATCCGAAATCAGTAGATCGATAAATCCATTTTACAGAACGTTCCAAAATCAAAAGCAGTAGATTTGTAAATAACCAAATTGCTTAACAAGAAGAAACAATCAAAACGGAAGTTTAACGATTCACATAAAATACACACCTTAACATGCAAAAATGATAAACAAATACGCTACTGTGATATAGAGTTCACACAATTATTAATCTAAGCTTTATGACATTAATTTGCCTCAAACGAAAATGTACAATTAGATCGAATTTCTCTAAAGATTTATTGAAAATAAATTGAGTTCTAACTATGGATAGAGATGAAATAAACAATGAATCATCAAACATTTGACTTGTCATACGTTGGGATATTTTTCAAAAATAAATAAGATATTAAATTCTAGTAACTAACACGACATATTTTCTTAGTTAAAGATCTAAAATTCCATAATCTCTACTCTCCAATCTACATTAAAATTAGTGAAATACCGACAACAATATCGGTAAGCAATCTACTACATTTTTAACAATGTTAACTCCATGGAGGTTTTAACTTTTATCAAAACTGATAAAATTATTTCTAAACTAGTCATCATATATATGATGATTAGTTGGTGAAATAGCTTCTGGATTTCGCTTTTACTCAAAGGGATATAAATTTGCTTAGAACAAACACTGAACAATTTAACTGTATATACAATTTACACGCTCTACACTAGATATCCTGCCAGCACTATTCTACCAGGCTTCAAAACAGATCCAGATAATCCATCTTAGTAGAGCGTGCAGTATTCAACAATTAACACTAGGAAGGCAAATTTATATGACACTTCAAATATCTGTTTGTTTAGGTAGACAACCAATCACTATTTTTTCTCGCCCACATAACATTAAGTTGGATTGCTCTTGGAGATTTATTCAATTTGAAGATAGCTCCTAATAGAGCGATGCATGATATTGAATTCTGACCTATTCTGGGATCTGAAATTATCGTTATCACTATAAGATTTGAATGTTTTCAACTCTACTACAGCATTAATCAAGGTGTTTCAAACTAAGACAAAACAACTACTACAGTGATTTCCTAACTAATACCAGTTTATAATGGAATTTTCTTACGAAATTAAGTAATTTGATTCAGGGATTTTTATTTCAATTCAGTTGAAAATATTGTGGATGATGACCATATATGCATGATTTCTATGATTTTATATCATTTACCTACTTTAAAATTCAAACCAAGTAAATGACATAAAATGGAATGGAATACACTTCTTTTAAAGCTGTGTAAATCATTAAGAAAAAAAATAATTATATAGATTCACTGAGCGCTCATAAATTTATGACGATAAGTAATTTCACCAGCTACTTGAGCTGAACCAATCGACAAATCAAAAGTCATATTTATGTAACTAACCATTATATATATATATATATATATATATATATATATATATATATATATATATATATATATATATATATATATATATATATATATATAAACATGAACCATTCGATAATTCGCTTCACAAATTTCTGATATTAGCTAGCATTTAAAGCTTATCTCTTGCACGCAAGTACAAGTGCTCTTATTTTTACATCAGGGACTGATCTTTAATAGACGACCATTGGACACTAGGTAGCACTCAACACCCATTTTGTCCTAGTACGAGATTCCTCGGCAGTGACAATCGACGATCCTACCTTAGGTTGAGTCTAGGACCTCCAGCTCGCCCGATGAATACATGAATTTTATACTACTAAGCCGGCAGCGAGCAGTTTATATATCTAATTTCAATCAATTTTATTAAGTAGAGGCTATCTACAGAAATTGCCCTATTTAGACAACAAATTTAATTTCAGTAATTCTTCATATACATAATTGTCAGCTTCAAATCGTGACAAACTGTTTAAAACACTCAAGAATAAATAAAATTAAAAAAAAAACAACTTGACAATTACCGTTTGTTCCATCGATTCCATGATATAAAAGAACAAATGAATAGGACACAGTAAGTGCTAGCCATTGTTTAATGACAGGAAAGACAGTTACAACTAATGAATGTTTATAACTAGACGATAATTTGCATTTCATTATAGGTATAAAAATAAAACTGAAAAAGAAAATAAAATAAACAGGAAACTGATAACAGTCTTACTAAATTTATAATAAATTAAAAAGTTTCATTTTAGCATTATATATTTAGCATTATATATGATTACAAGTTTGACTAGTCTAAACTGAAAATGGGTCGAGACACTTTACAGATATTTATAGAAAAAAAATGAATAAACATAGTTTTCACTACTTACATTCAACAAATCTATAGACTAATCGAGGGGTTTTCAGATATTAGCTTATATAACCTACCACTTGTAGATTGATGTCTAGTGAAAGGTCGGCAAATATTCAAAAAATCCTAAGACACTTTTAACTCTCACATAGTGAACACAATACCTTTCAGGTTATAGTTTACTCGTGATTCTGACTGGTTATATTTTCAAATTCAGTCAGTTTGTAATATAATATTATCTTTAGCGAAACGACGCCAGTTCGTTGTGAGAATTAACTTTAAAATGCAAAAAACCAATTTCACAGAACTATCTCATCTAACAATAAATGAGAATAGCGAGAAAACAGTAGTTTATCAGCTAACTAATGCTACAGATCATAAAAATTCATATATTAAATATAGATAAGGATTCGACTTCAGAAATTCCCTCAATATGCATTGCATATGTTGATATTCCTATCATAAGTGACATTAGTTTTCTATTGTGCACGATAAACTGTTGCACCGTCTTACGTTGATCAGAATGTTCATTGTATATAAGTATATATATATATATATATATATATATATATATATATATATTTATATATATATACATATACATCACCTAAAATAATCAATGTCTAATATATGATGTTCGAGGTTACTAGTTAAATAATAATCGAACAATTTATGGTATGATAACTTATATGAACAAATGACATCGTCTGTTAAAATAGAACACGTATTAGCACTATTTTGAAATCTATCTACCAGTGTTTAGTTACAGTTGACAATTTTGAGTTAGTACGCCTTAGACAGAAATGAGATACAAAACTTTCTCGAAAAAAAAACATGTTTATACTGGAATGATGATATATCAACCAAACATACGGTACAAAATTATTCAAGATCATGTGAAAAAAAGATCAATGGGATATGCCACAAGAGGCAAAATAAATCATATTCGTTTCATCACAAATTAAACGCCACCTTAGAAAGAACATAAAAATCAACCCAATACAGTTAACACGTATAGTTTGAAATAATGATAGAGAAAATTTCAAATTATCAACCTTGCTCAATATTCTTATCGAACTTAATGTAGGCATTATATTTGAAATTGGAAAAGTTTACTAGATAAGAATTTCGGCAATCTAAAAGACGTTTTCCTGTCGTTGAAGCTACAAAGATTCGTATTTTAAAAAGTAAACATCAATGAAGTTTGAATATTGTATAACAGAGAGACATAGACTTTGATCATTAATCTAAGTGAAATATGATTTCATTGATGCACATTAACAGTTTGTCTAATTTCTCACTATTATGCACTACAGTATGAAGTCAAAATATTAATGAGGTCAGTTACAACCGGAATAGTTCGGTAGTAAAGTCCCAGACTGTGAAACAAGGTGGCCTTAGATGGAATCTAACAGGGAGTATCATTTTTCTCAGAACTGCAGCTGTGCCACGTTGGCTAGTACTAACTACTATGAAACCTAGGTCCAAAGTTCCCTAACACAATAGAACTGGTTGACATGGGGATTATTTAACTAGTAATCAAACCCACTAAATAAACTGTTGATCAATCACCGAAATACTGTTAGTGGTAATATTAATCGGTATTCTTGTTAATAATCATATTCAACCTCACTAAAGTCAAGGTCTAAACAGAGGAATATGTGGATGATATATCCTACTAGATAAAAATGATAAATATAAGAATATGGGGTTACGACTATCACCGGTTTTAAATATATTTTTACTTAATTATGATAATAATTAACTATAAATTAGTTATCTATGGAAAATGACTTAAAATGTTAATACATCAAAGCTTACAGAAATGTACTAAAATACTATGAGAATTATTGAGATTGCTTGAAATCACAAAACATGTGGCTAATGTCGACATAATGAAAGTTGAACTGGATTAAATAAAATAGTTATAAGGAAAAATCATGCAACAATAACATCAACTTACGATTTGATGAAATTGTACAGTCCACGGTCGAATGATCTGAAACAATTGGATATAAGAGAAATAAAACCTGAGCAAACATAATGGAGATGAAGTCCCTACGAAGCAAATATCTTGTTAAGTCAACTAGTTTAATATGAATTTCCTGAAGTCCAAATAGTAAACTATGAATTGAGGACGTGAAAAAATAACCGATTAATAAAGTTAGAGAAAAACTGTGATATATAGTAAATTGGCTCGAATTGAAAATACAAACTGATGAATTCGGTGACTTAAAAGGAGGGTGATGCCAAAGGTGTTGAACTTGCTGCTATGTACGTTAAATGGTTTTGGAGAGATGATTAAAGGGATAGAGCTTGCATATTGATTTTGCTAGCGTATTCGGAGGTATTCATTTCTTCGTTAGCGTCGACGCTTACAACGGTCAAAGATTTTGCCAGTGAACTAAGCTACTTCTCTGGACACTATAATGAAATTACGACAGCTATTTTGCCGGTTTAGAGTCCCAGATATTATTGTATTGGATAATGGTACGCAATTTAGTTCATCCATTTTCTCAAAGTTTTGCTACAGATTCTGAATTAAACAAGTCTTTTTACCCTCCATAATCGAATGCCCAAGTTGGAAGATTTGTGGATACCTTCAAAAGAGCAGTTCTAAAGGCGAAAGGGCACGGGAAGATAAAGAAGATTTTTGACGACTTTTTGTTAGTCTGGAGAACAACACCAAATCCACCAGTACCGAATCGATTGTCTGCTGCGGAAATCATGTTTGAACGGAAAATTAAAACTACCCATGATACTGTATAGCCGGAGCGACAATGTGAACACAGAAACTCAACTTAACCACCATCATAGAGCAAAATCTAGGATATTTTAAAATAACCACGATTTTCATTAATTACCTCCTCAATAGATTAGAGAAGTATACTTGAGTGACGAGGAAAGGTGATGTATTTGGTGGAAGTAGATGGCGAAGAGTTGGAACGTCACGTCAACCCCATACCGAGACTTTTTGATGCACCACAGGAAAATGAAAGAATGGGTTTAATATGGAGAATGAATCTATACAGCTTTGATATGAAAAGCTAAACAATACAGAAGGTTCAAGAACCAGAAAGGAATTCCTTGAGATCAGTATGGGAACGCGCAAGATCAGATTTCTCCCAGATTAACTAATCATACGATGTTTCGAACAGAAGATATCAGTGGCATTATTGTTACCTAGTGACTAAACATTATTTTTCAATTTGTTCTAGTTAGCCAAATCGGTCACAAACAAAGATTACAGCAGTAGCCAGTTACCCTCACACATGCACTCAGACTAATGGTAGTAAAGAAAAAAGTTCCTTTCTCCAGGAGGAACACAATATGGAAAGAGAAATGGAGTAAAAAACGACGGGAGCTAATTTCGGGAAGATTATTCAAAGTGTGCAAAATCCTAATATTCCTTTCTTCCAAAAATTGTAAGCTTTCGTTTGGTGTATGATTTACTGCTCTACTCTGTCCTGCTCCAAAATTATTGTACCTTACACTCAACCTTCCGTACTAAATTTTTCCATCCTAATGCCAAGTTTGGACGTAACTGTGCTTTTCTAATTATTTTTGCGTTTTGGTCTTCTTACTGAGTATATATTTATTCATTTTTCTTTTTTGTCAATCAAGTCAGGAATGAACCGAGTAGTGTTCCAGTCGATTAGTCCTTTTTCTCTCGCTTGCCAGCCTGTGTGGTGATAGGATAGCGTTATTGCCTTTTCGAGTACTAGCTCCAAGGTCGAATCAAACAAGCCATCACGGCAAGGCCTTTAACCAGATACAGACGAAATTCTCATCCGTGTATTTGTGGACAGACGGTCCAAAAACAATCACAACGTTCTCTGATTTTCACGGGTTCTCTAGAATACTCATTTTTAAGCCATAAGTTAGTGCGAACACTCATTTATTTTTTACAATGTCATCATTTTCTCTTTTACTTCTAATCATCAATTTATACTTTGTTGAGATTTTTTCTGACTAATATAGGGAAGTTTTGGTGATTTTAGAATTTCTATCGTTAAAATCACGAACTGAACTTAGCCAGACTACCACTGAAAATGAGGAAGCACCAGACAATTGTTTCATTCTACTATAGGACAAATGTCTAAAAAGTAAGTATTTCAAATCAAGCACATTGATATAAGTGTTGCAAGACGCCTTTTAATCCATAATTTCCTCACTTTTACTACTTGGTTAGGTGAATGGTTATATGTAGGATAAGAGTTGGATAGTGGTTAGCAAAAGAATCCAGGATGCGCATCTCTTCCTACTTAAGGTTCGTCAGATGGATGTACCTGCATCAAAGTGTTGGTGTTCACTTCGAGACTCGAACCCAGCGCCGGTCGCTTCAAGATCTTGCGTTGTTAACCACCGAATGAAGTATACTGGGTTTGAGTCCCGACGTGGACATCAACACTAGTGCAGGTACATCCAGTTGACGGTCCCCAAATAGGACCGGACTGTATTTCACTGCTAGCCACCATTCAATTACGATTACAAATATTTGCAACTTAATGACACAAGATGTTTATGCATCAAAAGAGACTGGTCAAATGAAGTCCATAACATCAACTAGACGACTCAGACAACTAATACGAATAAAACTTAAAGCAATTAGTCCCTCTCAAAAACTTTGATAGAACAATGCGCCGCACACTTCGAACAATCTGTATAGCGCAAATATATCACATTTTTCAGATCAATTACGTCTGATCATTGTTCTATCAAAATAATACGAATGAATTATCATATCTACTTCACACCTCGTAGCGAAGATTATAATTAGTTTATTTTAGGATTCCAACTGACCAGTCTATCACTTTAAGTCTATCAGTGTGATGAGACATAAAGCGTTGACTGTGAGCAATTAGCACGATGAGATCTAAGAGAATATGCTATTCAAAAGACGATGTGGTAAAATACTAAACAAATGAAGTGAATTGATCGCAGATTCGATTTGTGTAGCTGGTTACATTTCCAGTTCGCGGATAAGTGGAATAAAAAAGTTAATTTTCCAGAAATGTCAATTATGAAACCGCCCTTTTTCATCGTAACCTCCAAATATACGAATATGTACTCAACAGGTGAAGGATGTGGTTAAACAATTTTGGCATTAATGTTATATCTGTTCCACTTTCAGGTTTGAGAAGAATCAAGGCCAGGTGCTTAATGATTCTATGACATAAAAGAAATAAAACAACTTGTAGAAGCACATAATTAAAACCAAATTACAATGTAAACTAACCGCCAACATTCAGAAATCAGAAAGAAGTGTAAGAGACATCTTGGTGGTTCAGGCATAAACGTAGCTTGAAGTAGGTTTGGATCATCGCAAGATTTGGTTGTTTGATCTGTGATAATAATAGTAGTTTTAGTATTTTGTCTACATGATTTAAGAATATTCGATAACTTGTGTAACAGGTTAATAAGCAGCCATTCAAAATTTGAAAATATATATGGCCATCCGTAAAATTGTAAATACATTATGAAAAAATGTAAGTAACGTAAATAAATACTAGCGCCAACTGTACCACGATCAATCATCACATAATATTGATTTGTTTTATTTTGTAAAGATGAGTCATTAATTTGGGCATTGGAAATTAAATAACCAAATGAGTTTGGATAAACTATACAAAGACAGAATGACCAAAATGAGCACCAAAATAGTAATCGAATAGCTTTGAAACCAAGTGACAGTAGTGTGTAAAATAAGGTTTTGAAACTGGGCGAGAAATGATTGGAATGTAAACTATCAAGATTTTTCTGTAAATTTTTTAAAAAAAACATAGTTCACTATTATATTTCGGCATCTATTTTGAAAAGTATTTATGACTGAATAAGTTGAATAACTTTAACAAACAATTAAATAAGATGAAAAGCTTACATTTAGTTAAATGAAGTATAAAATAATTCCAGTGTAAAAAGAGTAATATGCTATCACACGTAACAGTTTTGCATATTTACTTTGCAACAATCAGTAAATATGAGGGACTACAGTTGGTTGATTAAATAGATAGGTGAGGTTATCGAAAAAAATCAAGATTTGAAAACTACCAATAATCTGTTCGATATAACATTTCATTGAAGACGTATGATGATTCGTGTTGGTACAGCTAATCAAGAGAGTGTGAAAGTTGTTTCTTCTTGTTCTTCATACGAATAATGAGCAATATGATATTATTCAGTTAATTTACAGGCGATTAGATCATGTTATCTTGTCCTTGATCCAGATGGAATTCTAACAACAAAGTTTACGGCTATGTGCATTTAGAAGCACATCTTATAGAGAGAATCCTTGTTTCACCTAAGATTTTAACATTAAAGCTCACCCGTACAGTCCACATTGAAATTGAAATCTCAAACAAATGTGCTGTTGAAAATTCAATCTAAAAAATTGCATAATTCCCCGTTTTTATTTTTCTAAAATAGCTATATTCACATGACAAATAACTTTCTCGCTAAAACTATTCCTCCGTATTTAATAAAGTATCTGTCAGTGTATATATTTTACTGATATATCAATAGATCAGTGTCATAAAGAAAGTTCATGAACGAGTAGTTAGAAACTCAGATTTATGAAAATGGAAATATTAGCCGCTTGCTTAAATTACTTTTCCAATCATATCGTAATTCCTACGACAAGTTTCGGTTTTATAAAAATGAAAGGTCGGCTATTATATATAGTAGTATTCATGAATAAAGTTGCTTTTACATGCTAAATGCAATACGTTTTTTGAAGTACTACAGTCAACATAACCACTCTTCAACAAATAATACGGTAAATGTACTAATAAATGGTCTAAAATTACATGCCACTATGTAATAGTGCAATTATAACCATTATATTGGTTAAATATCTGAATTACAGAAGGTGTTACTACGCATACTTACTGCATATTATTAGTTCGGCTCAATTTAATTTAGAAAAGTGATAATAAAATACACTGTAAATAAGCATGGATTTTCAAATGCATTTAATTACTAGAATATTGCAAGTCTACTTCTTTTAATTTTAGGGATGTTTTTCAGTGAGAATATCTTCCATAAACTTCTTTCGTTTTTATTTACTATGATTATTACGTGTGCTTATATGCTGTGACTGGACAGAAAGTGATAAATTCTACTTGATTTAACTGTGAAACCACTGGTAAATTATATTTTTATGCCTGAAAAAATAGTGAAAAATAGTGGAGATTTAGCATTCACTACGAATAAGTCAACAGGTCTACAAGTAAATCTAAATGAGCTGAGTTATCTATTAATTGCCTACCAAGCCAGTAGTCAAACAGCAATAGCACAATGCTTATATACAGTTTACGATATCAATAGATTAGACTGTTTCACCTAACAAATAACTAACTTATATGTTGGCTCATTCCCAACAATGTACGTGTATGATCATTGTCCAGAATTTATAAAATTACGAAGAAATGAAATAATGTTGTTCTGAAAATGCTTACCCAGAAATTAAGCCAATCTAAATACAAGACTAATGGGCCTAACAGCAATGCATGTGGATATAACGAATAATCCAAAGTATCTAATAAACTTTCTAGTGAGAATTTAGGGCTACGGTTGATTAGTACTTCCTTTTCTTCTGTCGGCTTGATGGGAGGTGAATTATAATTGTGAATTGACAACGCCAAAATTAAACTGCGTAGAATTATATAAAAATGAGCTGCATACAAGACCGTATACCAGTCGTATGATACAGATTCAAGGTTAAGCAGCGATATCTAGTTTTATCGAGGTATAAAGCATGAAAGGTGAGAAACAGTTAATAATTATTCAGAAAAACATTGTAAAGCAATTACATATGTTCATAAATTTATATTAATCCATAATTTAGACAACAGACTTAATAAACCGAATGGTTACCCATTTAAAGGTAAAAAAAAGTCCTCAAATGAAGCTCGTCTTGTCCTTAAAAATTCTTCGCTTTTTGTTTCTCACATATGGGGACAATGAAGGTGTTTGACGAATTAATTTTTATTCAAGTAATTACAATTTGAAAAGATGACCTAGTAATTAGAAGTTTCTGTTGAATTTAAGAATACATATCTATTACTACAAGTTTTCCTCAAATAAAATCTAAGATATAAAGCAAAAGATAACAGTAATTTAAGTTAAAAGCGAAGATGTTTGGAAGCTGCAGTTAGTGTGTATCTCCGTGGCACATGAAACTAATAACTAAGTGCTTCGTAATTTTAGGTGTAAAAACCTACATAGCAAATTGTAGGCATAAGTAATTAGGTTTCCAGTAAAAATGAATAATTTCAGAAAATTACTGGTAACTTGTGTCTTAAGGCAAAAGACTATGATTTATGACCATAAACCATTACGATAAATGAGTAAGTGCAAGCTGCATCACCAGAAATTCGATATCCACCTTATCACTTTTCAACGAAAATATTTCTGAAATCATTGAATCTCTGGTAACTACTATAGAGACTTTATTTCAATATAATTCAATCCATTTCACTAATTTTTTCAGCCTTTTCAATACTCTTGATATCAAACCTAAATAAGCCAATTTTTCAATTTCCTAACTCAAAATAGAACGAGAAAAGCAAAACTGCTAATAGATAAGGTAGTCATTAGTGGTATTCAGTATGAGTCCAAATCCACAAGGTATAGACGACACCTCTAACTTCTTACCGCTCATCAGTATTTAAGAGAGGTGAGTTTAATCTTTGCACCATTTGTACCAGATTTTTACTTCACTAAAATCAACACAAATATAATGAGATCAAATAAACTTTAAACCTTTATTGTTTGAGTTAAAAGTATATATATATATATATATACACGAACGAATTTCGTAAAAATGTAGAGTTCACTAACATTATTATTTGTTGAACCGACAAAGAATCCAGATGCTTGGAACATTAAAACCGCAAACACCCAAACCAGAAAACGATTTCCAGAAACTGAATAGCTGATACATAAGAAGAATAATGTGTTTAAAAAGACGTCCATTACGATTCTAAGACCCACTAAATAAGTGTTTAGGCAAATCGATAATATTATACGACAACATTTGAAAATCTAGACTGATTGAAAAACAATTTATATACGGGTACTTTTTTGTCCACCAAAGTAAAAACTAGTGATGATACGATTGAGTAAACAAACTGATAAGGTAGAAAACTCATCCACAATGGGAGTAACGTCCATTGTAATTCAGCTACATCTTGCGATAACACCAAATTTTGGGTTAGATTAAAATTCACTAGGTGTAATAAATTTCGATTCACTGAATTTGCTATTGGACTTTTAAAGAAAAAATGTCACCTGAACTTCTTGAAGCCATAAAAAGTCGGTAGATAGAATAGCTTAGGATAAGCAAAGCTGTGCTGACATATCCGATTCGTTCCAGCAGAAAGAACTCAACCTTTATAGTCATTTTATTTCAAAGTAATTTAAGACATCGAGGCTGCAAAATAAGATGAAAGTTAAAAGATATCAGAAACAATCTCAAAACGGTTTCCATAAATATAGATTTTTGAATACAACTACTCAATTGAAGAAGATTGGAACATTATTAAATGTAGGTGATATACTTTTGGCAAATTTATTTCAATTATTGGACTCGTAGGGCCAGTAAAATGTCACAGTTGGCAGGTCACTGTGTCGAACGATTTCCCGATTCTCGTTTGTTTCAAGGACAACTAAAGCACATCAATCAGTTGCACAATATGGATTGGCCTATAAGCAGCAGTCACACTTTTCTGTCTATTCTTCCTAGTACATTTCTGTAACGACACCATGTCTTTTCGTATCGAAGTAGTTAAAATACTTGTATATTACGAAAGGGTAGTCTACGTTGTATATTAGCTGGGAGGTGTAACTTTGACGTAAGCTGGGAGGTAGACCATCCCGGTCCAACTCGAGTACGCCTACAATCCTCGACACAAATCACCTACGTTGATAATCTACTAACGTAATGACATGCTTACTATCAGTAATATCTACATAGACAACCTTATATTGCCTTTATGTTATTCATGTGTTACAGATCACCGGTCATTAATGAATGGTATAAATGTAATTAGTTGTTTAAACCTGAAGATAATTAAATAAGATAGCCGTTAAATAGCATCTAAATAAAAAGTGTAACTATCAAATGTGATGTACGGCTCGACACTCACTGATCGCAAATACTTCTCACAGGGATTCACTGACATTATGACTATATATTTTCAAATTTAAAATACTAGAGAGGTTTTACATACATACGATTCGCAACCAGTAACTTTAGACGTAAGTTAAAGCCACTAAGACAGGTTGGAAACCGCGCATTAAAATTTGTTTGCGAAACTTGACAGTATATCTTACCTGATAAATTATTTTTTATCTATAAACCTGTTCTAGCACTATATCTCTAGACATTTAGTTCTCTTCTGTGAAATATGCAAGCCGAAATGGGTGATTACAAGCTGACATTTATTGTAGAAGTATTTGTAACTTATAATTTCGGTTGTGGAGGCAATAGCTTAGTGTTCAAGGCAACTTGCTTTTAGCCATAATATCGCCTTAAAAGCGCTGCTCTGTCTACTTTGAAGAACATTACAAAGAGTAAAGTTAATCTAAATGTATAAAAATATGATTAGGTCGACATCCAAAATTGTTTAAATAAATTTGACAATGATGGAATGAGGATCATAAGGTTTTCAAAAACTGAACAGCATTGAACGGAATCCCAATGCTTTTTTGCTTAAATAATAACATAGTGTCTAGGAAGGAAGATGTGAGGTATCATTAAAATGAATAAAGATATTTACACATTGATTCTGAAAGAAAAAAAGTGGCCAATGTGGAACACATAAAGGGGAAATGTTAATAAAACTATAATTAGAGCAATATCCGAAGCATAGTTTCTACGAGTACTCCTCATTCAATTTATTTTCATCTGAGCACTTCAGTACGACTTATAGTTTAACGCTCGACTACCCAAGCTCCCAACTTCGGATGAAATTGAGATACTGTATTATAATCAGCTAAAAAGCTGAACCTAGGAGTAAATTTTCAGCACCTATCAAAATACCACTTTTTCAAACATACTGAAACTTGATTATTAACAATCATTAACGTTCGTGGTATTATAGTAAAGCAAATGAGCTTAAACATATGGTGTCGATTCACGAAACACTAAAAATGGATCTTTTTCTGTAGCCATTTATTAGACAAACTCAGGACCTTTAATAAGATTTTTCTCAGTTCATGTACATGTGTATCCAAGATATTTTCTTTACTTTGACGCAAGATAACTTGGCAACTTATATCATGGCATTGTTAGTTAACTAAAGAACCTATATATCAATCTAATTAGATAATTGAAAGCTTCAAATGGAACCCACTTCAGCACATACGAACCTGAATTATTACCCTTGAAATACGCAGCAATAAATACCGATAACAAATTAGCCACGATGCGATTCGCAGTACATTGTACAATATACAATACGCCTTTGACGGGCTGACATTAGAAAAAATGTTATTTCGGGTTAGTATCTTGAAAAGTTAGAGAGAAATGAAAATCACTTGGCCACAATACCCATCATGAATAAACACAATATTGGTTTCCTCTACAGTTCAATATCCTTGTGAGTAGCTTGAAGATGTCATGAAAAAACAGTCAAAACTTCACATTATTCTCTGAATAGTTTCAATAATGCTAAAAAAATAGGTATATAAGCGAAGAATTTTGTCTTACACAGATATTCTTATGGTTCTACAGGTACGCATTCAAGCTAATAGTCCAGAACTTGGCCAGGCTTATTGCGAAAAGCGTAATTTAAATTTTAGCAAGTGACTTTAGGATTGTTTGTAATATAATTTGGAAGGATTAATATGTAGTGATCGCTAAAAGAAATTAAAAGATTTGATTTGAATAAATGTGGTTAACATGAAGATCCAAAGTGAACTGCTAGGAAAATATATGTCTTTCAGTGACCACTTCCACATGTAGCAACTCCACTTTTGTCGAACCATATTGCCATTCGAAGACTTGGAATAGTTGTTCTAAACTTTGTCCATGACCTAGGTTTCCGCATCTGAGTCTTGAATTTCGAGAAGGTTGCTGGTAAATTTATTAGGTTTACTACACCTGCTGAACGTGCGCGACGCTGACTCTCTTATGGCGGTGATTTGTACACGTGGATCTGTAACTCTGTGCTGATGCGCGTCAGCTTCTGCACAGCTGAACCAGGGCTTTATATAATTGGGCCGGGCTGGTATAAATTAAAAGGAAAGTATTATTCTTGGTGCTCCTCGGTTTAAATGTCTACTAAGACTTCATAGGAACAAAGTATGTTTAAACATATGAAAAAATTCAAAAAGAAAACTAATAGCACGTAATGTATTCATGTATACATGCATACATATATCGTCATAACAAAAGCAGTCTCACTGTTTTTGACTGAGTTTTACATATCACTTCAGACTACTCAATGAAGTGGTCCCTGCAAATTAGACTTCGGCATCGCTATATATGTAACACCCTATAATCGCGAATACTAAAAACATTCTTTGGGGATTCATTTATCTGTAATAACTTGAATGCGCCTGTTTATTTCATGATATTCTTCCCAAGCGGAGGCTCCTAGGATTTCTGATGCTCTTAGTTAAACAATTTATGTTTCTTCTCCGTTGGCTGACGTTATTCCAATGAGATTGAAACTCGGATATTTGAAGAACAAACTCCTATTAAACCAGCATCTGTGTGTGTCTCTTCAAAATCTACCCTCAGTCATCGTATAGCGGGAAATTTTTATTGGTAGTGTGTACTGTAATATGTGATCCTTTCATATTTACGATTTAATTGGAATAGGGTTATATCAGAAGGGACTTTTAGTATGAATTTCACTTCAGGCCTAACTGAATTACAGATACTTGATTAGGAAGGTGAGAGCGACAAAAGCGCTAGGAAACCCCAAGTATCTGTTATTTCTTACAGCATATCCATCGAAACCAAACTTTGTTATTGAAATCATCAAGCTTCAAGGTAGAAGTTGTGTTTCTATGCACCTAAATAGTTTTTTGATGTCAGTAAGTAACGAAAAAAAGTGAACACAGAGGCAGTTAATAACAGATACAAAACCTAAAGCAGACCTCTACATTCTAAAAAACTGTTTTATTGCTCTTGGTCTGCCTTTGACATTTATTACAAAAAAAATAAGAACTGCCCTTAAATTTTTCTCTTCTGACCGAGTTTTTCCAATATCCAATATCTTTTTCACGAGCTAGTGTAAACCAATTGATTTCTTTCCGCTCGATTCTTGTTCTTTCGGTACGATTCCAGGTGTTGCAGTGTTTCACTTATTTTGATCTTATAAGCAATCCTATTTTTTTCGTTCCTCTCGTGCAACCATGAACATCGACTTCTTTTTGAGTTTTAGATCGTAAAGCTTGCAGACAATCTGTCATTTGAACTAGTATTAGATTTCCTTCATATCGATTATTGTTCAGTTATAATTTATACACCGAAAAATTTATTAACGATAGACAATAATTATGTACGATGATTCCTTATAAATAACAAAACTTCATTCTGGACAAGTGAGAAATCGGGATATAAACAGATTCTTGTTATTCTGCTGCATTTATTGTTCTTAGTTTATATAATTTTTATGGATCAGAAAATCTCAAAAAAATATACAAAATAGAGTGCTCATGGCATATTTTTCGGACTTCAAACGCTAAATTATGATTCGGCGCAGTCAGCTATCGTTAGGACCAGATTAATGATGATGGTATATGATCCGAAATTAATATGGCTGCCACTAGTAAATCAATACATGGAAAGTAACTCACCTTAAATTACTGCGAAAATATAGACTATGTTACATAGTTTAGAATTAAAGATTATGGCGAAATTATCTGATGATTAATTTGTTTATTTCTACAACCTTGAGCAGTGTATTACCAGCCATCGGAAAATTTGGCGGGCAATTAGTAACTTGTACGTTATATGATGCTGGCTGACGGTGTCCCTCCAGGTGACGTTTCCATGTTCCTTTTGGTTTACCTTACATTCTGTTTCCTTCATTTTCATTAGCAATCCTTTTAGTTTGTTAGCACGTTCATAATGTCACCTGCGCGTTTGTTTTAACCATCTGTAAATATATTGACTTACTACCAAGCGATAAATTTAGTCATTATTTTTAGATTGTCATATGTCCAGACGTCTTTCGACATCCTCTGGGCATAGATTCATATTTTCTTCTCCGAATTATCCTAGAAACTATTAAAGTGTAGTAATTTTACTTAATATCTGTTAGAAATTATTTCAGTCTAATTCCAAGACAAAAAAGGTTGTTGATTAGTGACTCATTCGAGTCGCCCTTTCGACGGTTCCGTTTAAAAAAAAGTTTGAAACCTGTAGTATGTTCGTTGAGTACTCATGTCCTCTTGAACTCTTCCAGTCACAATAATGGGCTTATATACCTCGGTTTCACTAGTGTCTGAAGGTATTGTTCTTTACACAGAACGACCTAAGAGTGGATTTTCCATTGTAGCTCAGTAGAGCTTATGCAATTATTTTCACTTTTATCAAATAGCTAGATATCTCGCTTATGTGGGAAGTGACATGTCGTTATAAGCTAAGTAAACATTTTGCATCCTCATTAGAATCAAATGGTTACCAACACAGACTCAAGTTAAGTTTAACGTTCGGCTGCCTATCATTTCGCTGTCTGTGACCGTAAGGACTGATGTCTGTCAGTCAGGTTTCGTAATACACAACTGGAAGTTGCAAGGAGCGCATTCCAAGATATTAGAGAAACAATACTTTTTACCTGTCTGAATTTCAAGAAAATATACATTTTTAGACTGGTGACGTCAAGTTTGTTGTGTCAATTTGGTTTTGTGGTGGAATACGACCCCTTCTCACCAGTTTCTATTCTTTGATTTTTCAAGTTTTTTCATCGATATATTTCCCTACTTCTACATTTGCTTTGAGATACTGTTTTACCTGAGCGATCGTTTTACGGTTCCATTTGTATTTTAGGTAAAACGGTTTGTTCGGATGGTTGCCCGATGTCGGAGAAAGGTAATACAGTAATCCTTTGTAGTTACAATTTTCATATGGCCTAAACAAATTCGGAAATGTGTATACACTTGATTACTTCCGGTTAATGACATAAGGAGAAACTTAACTTCACGTGTGTATGTAGCTCAAGTCTCATCATCGTAATACTTATATTTTGAACCAATATTGCATCCAGCGTTTCAATTTTCGGTACTTATATACCTCATGAATAAACTTTCGTCATTCCATGGACAGCTTGAATGCAGGTCAAAGAAGCTATTGTGTCCCACTTAGTGGCTTTCAGGCAAATACTACCAATTAAAAACCCGCATCTGTTTTCGTGAACAAATGATGTTCTATTCCGTACATTGCAGCCGACTGACAGTGGCTAATGACTTGCCTTTTGAACACGTTCAGTCAGTTTCTTTCTTAACAAATTTTATCAACTGATGGATAAATTCCTAATTGAAGTCCGGCCACAAACTGTGAATTACTAACTTTGAATCTATGACTTGAAGGGAGCAGTAATCTTGTGTGTTGTTATGAGCATCATTATTTCAACCTCCTTGCTATTCATCGTCTTGTTTTCATCTCTTTGTGCAAATTTGATATCAGAACATGAAACAGCATACATTTACACCAGTTCCTAAGTTGAGTACAGCTGACTGACTTCAATTTGAGTGAAAGCCACAACTTCAGGTGATGTATTGCACCTTTATATACTTGCCCAAAATCTTTAGACCGATCAAAAAGAAAGATGTAAATTATGAACCGTGTATAAAAATACCCTACGTTGCATATGCTTCTCGTCACATTCAAAAACGCAATCATTAACGCCATTTCTTTCATTTTAGCACTGAACGTGGTACATAGTTTTCAATCGTAAATTATCGGTTTCCCTAAACCCTAAATATTAGTAATAAAAAGGCAGAGTTCTTAATTAGACCTGGTCTTTACTACTTATTAATATCATTAGAATCAATTAATGTTATTCATATTTTCATTTTACTATATCCTTTTTTCTAGTACGCTCTATAATATATTGGCGGCAACCAGTTGTAACTGGCATCATACTGGCTATCTTACTGATTGTTGAATTTAGTTTTATGTGTCTTTCTGCAATTTCCTTCATTGCTTACATCGGGTTAGCTCTTCTCGTTTCCGTCAATTTATTGCGTATGTATTATCACTTTGTGGCTAAGACAGAAAATAATTTTGTCAGGTTAGTTGTATTTTGAAGCCATATATGGTATTTGCGTATAGTAATTCATTCAACAATGTTTGTAAAATATGTAGATAGTTTTCATTATTGCTGTTAACATACAAAGCATCAAATATTTTCATCCATGCTTTAGGAGAAAATTCGTAATATACGTTTGGTTTCTACTAATTTTAAATCTCCGTAGCAATCCTTAAGGTACACTTTGGATAAGCTTAATTCACTTTATTACTTTACAGTTATTAAGCATGGTTTTAGGTTTAGAACATGCATTGCTTATCAGTGTTTAGTCATAGATTTATTCCGTAGCATTGCTTGCATCTGCCGAAGAAGTTGTGAATTGACTCATGAGACTTGATCGTTTACTGACTGAAATAGTAGAAATATGTATTATACAAACCCATCCAATCCCTACACTGTGCCAGGTACTATAGGCCACTGATCATATACAGATATTGTATCGCTCTCTAAATGCCTTGATTAACAGATTACGCCTTACCATGAGATACAGGATTCCCAGTTTAGTTCTTAAGGATAGCCGCGGTTGACTTTCAAGGATATGACTCCAAACCTATTTCACTTCACATACACTTACTATTGGTCTTTCTCTAAATCATGAACACCTTCCAAACTTTTAAGTTTCCGATAGCTTTGCTCACTTTCCACATCTATTTTTCGTACAAATTTGAAAATTACTGGCATTGTGTGAGCTGTTTATTCAGCATGATGGTATGCACAATATAATATGTATTTGTCTTAGTAGGTATTTTTGTATTATATACTTACATCCTTTCGATTTGCATATAATTTCAATGTTAATGGACTTAAGTTGCTTTTTTCATTTAAATGTAGAGAATATCTGGAACGAGAGATCACTGTACCACAAGACAAAGCAGAAAAAGTTTCTCGACGTCTTACTGAAGCTTTAAACAAAGGAATAATACGTACTAGAGAAATATTCTTACTTACCGACCCTGCTGCGTCCGTAAAAGTAATTCTATTTCGTATTGATCCAACTTAAAATGAGTGTACAAGCAATGAATACTGTCTTTTTTCAGCGTTGCTTGTTGAGATTCTTTCCTAACTGGACTAAACAAACTTGTTTCACCAATTTGTATTGCTCAGATAGCTATTTCTTTTCCAAATTAACCTTCGTTACTTTTAAACCGAAATTGCTTTGTTATATTGAAATCTGGTAATAGTTTGACTAAAAGAACATATGATTTTTTTGCAGTAAATTATTAAACAATGTTTTTGGCTTTCAACTATTCAATGTTCTACAAACATATCCAACTAAGAGTACATTGAGTTTTCCGCATAAGTCCGTGCTTCTAACTTCTTTGGTCTTATTAAATATCCTATTTTTTTCACCGGGTCATAATCTGTCCAATCTACAAGACTTTTTATATCAACACTTAATTTCTATTTTAAAATCCGTTACACTATATACGATTTAGCTTAGTTACTGATCATCTATTCGATCTAAATATAATCTCTAATTCATAGGTTCACTAGTCCAGCTGTGACTCAGTGAAATAAGTATGATTTTCAATTACTGTCAGTTTGTAAACGCATACTATACCTACTTTGATCTGGATAACCATTTATTAGGTGTGTAAAAAAGCTGACCAATTCAGAAACATTCAAATTAAAACTTGTCGGGACTAGTTGTTATAATTATCTAAACACTTCATTCTCATATTATTTACCAAATTTTCCTTAATGAGCTGATATCACACTTTTCATATACTTTCAGTTCGCCGTGTTGTTGTATCTATTGACATATATTGGTGCCCAGTTCAACTTCTTAACCTTATGCATACTGTGTAAGTTCTCTCCTTTTAATGATAATCCACTTTTATTCACTTTGAAAAGTTATCAATTGACATATGATTTTCATAGTGCTTTAATACAAGTTCTACGTTGTAATACATGCCATTAATGGCAAGGATATGCCGAAAACCCGATACTTCTTTCTATGTAGACAAGTCCGTTAACATGGATACAACACAGTTGCTCTTTTGTTGTCTTAATCCGCAAATCCGTAATAATAGTAATGAAAATATTGAACGTATGCAGTACAAAGTGTGCACCAATTCATGATAGATTTGAATCCATAGTTTTATCTACACGTACTCATGTGTTTTTTTTAATTGTTTTGTTATTTTGACTGAAGATATCTTTACACCCTAGTAGCAGATTATGCTGTCACTCATCATTATAATTGTTTATTCTTATTTTCATTGCAGTCACATTTGGTTTATTCTGTGTACCAAAGTTTTATGAACGCTACCAAGTAAGTCCCTTCCAGAAATTACACATACTCTGTAATGAAATCACTAACTAAACTATACATGTCAGTTTATTTTTTACAACTTATTTACTCCAACAATAAAAAGTTATATGTTAACCTATGCATATACAAACAATGTGATATTAAATTTCTGAATCTCATGCTCATTTCGATTCGTCGTTTGAACGTTTCCTATTTCTCAACAACTGATATCCATCTTGACTGAATCACTTATTGGGTAAAGGTTCATGTGCACACTTCATGTGAATGCTAATGTTACTACCTCATTGTTCAAACTGAGAAAAATAAGGCAGAGTTTAAACCTTCGACTTAGTGCCTAAACGTCATATACCATAGCCACTGAGTCACTGCTTAGTTATCCACCTTATAATATTTCAATGATTTATCCGAATTACACTAACTGCGTTTATTCTGTTGTTACTTGTAATTGATTCATCGTATTTGCATTTCTACTCAGTGATAGGATCTCTTGATCATAGTGTATCCTTAGCATCTATAGTTATAACTATTTCTAACCTATAGGTTTCTTCATACACTTTTAAAATCTGGATATCACAAATCTAAATATGATTTTAGTAGACTTCTTTATCGTTCAACTTATGCTGAAAGTCTATAGTACATTACTCTATTAGACATATAGATATCTGGCGACGTTCAGAGTCATCTGTTTTGAATGTATTATGGTTATCATGCAGAGATGTTCACAACTCATCTAAGTACTGAGTCACGTTGACATTATTTATTAACGCTTGTCGGAGCACACTGCACCAGGTACATTTATTCTCCATATTCCTCGAGATTTTATATTCCAATATTTCGTTCTATTATACCTTTACATTCCTTCTCGAGCCATATCCTGAGTGTTTATTCTTCCTCTCTATCATTACTGCTATATTGTTTCGATTTCTTTTCCATTCATCTTTTCGTTCTGATGTATGGCAGTTTATGGCCATCTCTATGTCGATTATTACTAAATGACCATCGAAAAACAATTTTCCATTTTCTTTTTTGAGTGATAAAGCATTGTTTCGATCTCTTTTTGTTTGTAAATTCCAGCCGGAAATCGATAAAATGATTGAGCTAGCGAAATCAAAAATAGATATGGTATCATCACAGTAAGTTTGTCTTTCGGTGATAATATTTTTATAATTGCATTCTTAAATCACTCTTTATTTTGTTTCTTCCGATTTTCATTTCGTTGGAATTTCTGTCATCGAAATTTTTTACAAAATAATTCATTAATTTTAGTGATAAGCTCATTATTCAATTTGTGTAGTGTATTATAAAGAAATCAGTTCAGTGTTGGTTTGAAGGAAGTCGATTCACATTCTTGAATAGCAAGTTTAGCTATCAAAGAAATAATTCCAAAGTTTAAGCTTGGCAGTTTAAAGTGACTTGTTGTAATAACTACATTTTAGTATAATGTTTAGTGATTTTTCATCTGTATGTGGACACAGTGTAATATCACTGTTTTCATTGGTATTTTTGAAGGTAGACTTGTAAACATTCGAAACATTAATTCCTTTTCTCACTGTTCCTGCCTCCCCCTAATTGTTATTTACAAATGAAGTGAAATGCGCCATCACAGTATTGTAATGCTATCATTCTAGAGTATTCTTGGTTTATCATGTCGTTGTGATTATTTATATGAAACTTTTATGTACCTGACAAATCGAAATTAATTTTTAAAAACAAGCTAAAGTATAATTTGTACTTTGTTTTGTCATCTAACAATTTATGTTTGTAAATTTTGTCAATTCACCGTATTATATGCATAACTAACTATCTCTGTCACTAAAACTTTGAGGATTTCTACACTGAGTTAACCACTACTAAGCACATGACTATTGTTAGTAGTAACCGTAAATATATCATTGTCAGACTAATAGTAACACTATTATTCTATAATAATTGTCATTGAAAATACCTTGATATGCATAAGATACCCTTGATTAATTAGCTTATTTTTCCCTCGCAGGGTTAAAACGCATCTTGAGAAGATACCATTTATTGGTGGTGGTGGTGGTGGTCGAAAGGACAAAACACAATAAACTGCCTATTTTTCCAAATGAATTGTTTATATCAAGTCGTTCCAAGTTCTATGCACAACGATAACAAGTTTTCCAAAGTTACCTATAATAATAATAACACAATTCTTTTTCTTATATTAATTTAATGATAATAATAAGTGAAATTGTAAAGCATGCAAAAAGTCTGATAGTTTTGTGCTCTTCCTCTTTCTCTTTTTCCTACCAATTTTCATACATCATACTTCTTCCAAACTTTGTTATTCATCCTGTTAAGAAAATAATTATGCTTGCACAAATGTTTGTCAAAGTTGGTTTTCGCTTTGAAGAAAATCCAACTGTACTGACTGGAGTAAAAGGAAACAAATGAATTGCAAAGGTGTTCATTGTTGTTTTTTTTCAACAGAACAATAGTCACCATCATCTCTTTGCCTTTTTGTCCCAATATGTTTAGATTGTTATTTATTGTAATAAAGCTCTGATTTCTTTCTGTTGATATTCTCTCATACAATAACTTCCTATCTAATTTCCAAATGTGTATTAAAATTTTGATTGCATATGATAAAGAGCTAAACTTTGAATGTATGCTAATATTGTTTATTATTAACCGACAAGTATATGCAATCAGTATAGCCTAACTTTATTTGCCTTTTTATTTTATTCTTCTTTCTATAGTAAGATCCCATTTGTTGTTGTTGTTGTTGTTCTTGTTTACATTTTTCACTGCAGTGTTTATCACTTTATTCTATTGGCTCCATTTAAATCCAGTTATTCGTAATTTTACCGTGTATCATTCACCATTCAAATGTTGTATTAGTATTATCTTTTTTTGCTAAGAGCATTTAATGACATTAATAATAACACACTATAAATGTTATATTGTCATATACTGGCGGCTGATCGACTGGTTATTGTTCTGAATAAAATATTGATCTTTTGTAAGCGTTTTTAGTTTGCGTAAAGTCTGTTCTCATTTGTCACCGAAAATTGATAGGGTTCGTAACTAATTATATAACGAGAGTGCTGTTAATCCTTGATGAGGAAATAAGCACTCTTGCAATGCTAAAACAATGGTGAACTTCATTATACTCTGTCTAAATGTGTTTACTTTTAAACATCTTGATTAGAGTTGTTTTAACTATAGCCGTATGATATCTGTTCGTTTTAAGAAAAAGAATGGGATTCTTTGTATTTCACAATCAATCCACTAAATGAATTACACTTGTAGAGATTTACTGCATTACAACATAGGTGGACATAATTGTTAGGAACAGATCTGGATACTCTAAAAGTGTGGTTATTCCTGACGTGTTTTCGATGGATAAATGCGGCACGATTCGATTCTGTTCAATTTCTGAGAATACTTTTTAAGTTAAGTTTATATTGGTCACCAAGCACTCAAAATTCAGCAGTACCTAGGTATCAATTCAATTGGCCTTCAGCCACACTTCGGTTACCCACAATCTTTTGTCAACGTGAATCGCAAAGCGATGTAAGCCCTTCGAATCTTAATGAAATTGAAAAGCTATAGGGAATCTAAAGCGAGGAAGAGCAGCATACCCTCACAGGTTAACCCCTAGGATTTTTAAATGTGGTGGTCCAATTAGATTGACTGAGATCCAAAGTAGAATTTGGGAACTGGGTTTAATACCATATATCTGGTCTCAGTCACTGATTGTTCCAATTTATAAGAAGGGACGAAAGTTCTCTTAGGACAATCACAGAGGAATCAGTCTAACTAATGTAGTTTCTAAATTGTTAGCCTCGACGATACATAGACGCCTAACTAGAGCTCGAGAAAACCTGGATGTGGACGTACAGACCACATCTTCACACTGTCAGGTCCTAGAACATAGATACTCTTTCAAATGTCCCACAATAGTAGTAATTCTCGACCTTAAGGCGGAATTTGACTCTGTTGATCGTGAGTTTCCATGACATTATCTGTCACTGCAAGGAATACCAAAGAGCTCTACTCGAATACTACTGGTCGAGTGAGAGCTTACATCGAATTGTCATCGGAATTCATTACTTCAAGAGATGTTCATCAGGTCTGACTACCTCCATTCTTGTTTAACTTTGTCGTTGATGTGTTTTAGGACACAACAGTTTCATCACCCGACTTTTCAGGAGATTCGCTTGTTCACTTAGAATATGCCGATGACAGTTCTACTTGACCCAGATGCTGACAAAATGCAGTCTTCTGACCACCGTAAGCAACAATGCAAGCCTGTTTGGGATGTGACTCTCCCCCTCGAAGTATAAAATGTTGCTTCAGGGTCAGCTTTTATCGGCACTTGAACTTATGATGGGAAGTGAAGCAGTTGAGTGTATCTCGGGAGTCTCATAATAGCTAGTGTCTGACGAAATCTCAGCACGGATACAGAAGGCTCGATTGGCTTAAACGTAGGTGAGATATCCGTTTCCTATGCAAAAGACGAGTGTACTGTGCAGCAGTTCGCTCCGTCCTACTCTACGGGTGCGAAACATGGTCAGTAAGAGTAGGGATATCCATACGTCATTGGTTTTCGATCATACTTGTTTTCAAAGCATTGCTCTTATATCCTAGCACAACCGAATAAGCAATACTGTTCTCAGGAAATAGCATTTCTTTTGAACTACCAGGTGTGAGTATTATTACAAACGGTAACACTCAACAATTAATTTTTATTACAGGGGTTGTGAAGATTGTTAAGTTACACATTTTTGAAACCATGAATCGATCAATGTTAGACCACCATTAGAAACCTGGAAGTACTGGACGGCCGTTTCGTCCTGGTATGGGACTCCTCAGCAGTGCGCATCCATGACTCCTGCATCCCGCAGGGTTCTAACCCAGGACCTTCGGTATTGTGCGCGAACGCCCTAACCGTTAGACCACTGAGCCGGTATCTAACAGTGTTAATGTCTAACTTGATCGAATTCACGGAGTTGCGCAACCTCATACACAGTCTTCGGTAGACACTGCCTACACCCGAACAGGTTGAACTACACTGGTCACGTCTTCCCACTAGAACTTGGAGAAGATTCCTCACGAAGCTAGTCACTAGTGAGCACAGGTAATTTGCATTACAGGGGTTGTGAAGATTGGTAAGTTACACATTTTTGAAACCATGAATCGATCAATGTTAGACCACCACTAGAAACGTGGGTTCGAATCCTGCGGGGTGCAGGAGTCATGGATGCGCACTGCTGAGGAGTCCCATAGCAGGACGAAACGGCCGTCTAGTGCTTCCAGGTTTCTAATGGTGGTTTAACATTGATCGATTCATGGTTTCAAAAATTAATTTTTACTGAAATATTTGAACTAGAAGAAAATGGTGGTTAGTAAAATTAAATAATATCACCGGAAATGGACATCAATGTTATGCTTTAGCTTCATATACCGCAGTTCAACTGCTAAACACTCACTATTCTAAACCTATCTTAACATATTTCATCCTTGTTAATTCATTTTCAACTGGATTGTATCATTTTAGTCCTAGTTGCTTAAATTTATTTCTGTAATTGCGAAGAACAATCAAAAGAACGGTAAACCCATGATAACTACATATTTTTTTTTCTACGCGCCCAATCGTGACTGCGAAGCTTAAAGATGAATTCGAACTAATAGTTTGACAGAAATTGGACTTCGAGTATGTAGGATACATTACTTGTCAAAATTATATTTGGGATAGTCTCAGCGAGTGAAATTTTTTGTTAATTCCAACATTTCTATCCAGATAAAGTAGTCGAATGAAACGTTGGAATTAGTTGAAATTTCAATCGCTGAGATTTTTTCAAATATATTTTCACGAATAATGTAAAAGATAAATTATTCAGTATGAATGCTTTGTTTTCTATTTTTCAGTCCAACTGCTCTTGTGGTGTAAATTATATTGGTCGAAGTTCTGAGGATTTACATTTTCGTGCTCCTAAACACTTCCCAGTTAGTCCACACAAAGGCATAATGGAGGCTTTAAATGATTCACAATCCTATTTTGTCTACATGCTATAATTCGAAATGAGATAGATTTTCTTAAACCTGGTTATTTTTTGGATCATTAGTGTGGATACATAATTATCCAATCGGATGAGAATTTATGGAAAAAAAGCCGATATTCTTTGTTCATGTATGAATGTTTTATTAAAATATTTAATAAAAAGACAATCAACATATTTTTTTTAGTTGAAAATGAAATGAATTTATTCTCTCAAGGTAATTTGACGTGATAACTTTTATTTTGATCTAAGATCTTAATATGAAAAAAAAAATCAAAAAGTCAAACTGTAAAAAATGAAAGCGACATTCACTTTGATAGGTAGCATATTTTAATGATAAATTCATTATGATTTTTATTTTTTTTAGTTGATTAAAACGAATCATACTAAATGATTTTTAATTCCAAAAATAACGATAATCAAATATATCTGCATATTTCAATGCATACATACGGTGATATGTATAACGATGGTTTTTGAATATCAAATACACGAAAGCATTAATAAATGTTTTCTTGTTAGATATTAATTAGTCATGTGAAATAATGAAACTGATACCTATGAATATTGATTTGAGTATATCAATACAAAGGAAATAACATTATCTAGACACATGTTAAAGTGACTACAGTGTCATTAATAGGATAGATGGTGAATTTAACAAGTTGCTTGATTCAAAATAATATAATTATATTATTTATCAGAATTCAACGTAAAACTTGAATTTTTAGATGCTCTTATACGGTAAAACACTAGATGAACAACAGCAGCGTTACACATAAATAGATTAATGATTTAATCATGTTATGTCAGACGAAATTACTTTGTTTGGACAGAAAACGATCAGGCAGTTAATGTCAACTTGATGACGCTGGTGAATTAAAGGTCATATAGTCGATTTCCGATGTATATTACCAGCATAAAGGCATCTTACTATTCATTTAATGGATGAGTGTTCCATCTAGAAACTACACTCATTGAATTGTGTAAAACGGGATGAGTAACCTTACATTTGGGATTTTTCTTATTACTCTTTGATATGG